CCTTGCTGGTGTCCCCTGCGGCCGCAGCCCCTGTTCCTGTAGTTGCATGAAGTCGCAGGCTCTCGCTGCGCCCCCCTGAGCACACCCGCGGGAAGGAGCACTCCTAAGCTTTGTTCTTTTCCTGGGAGGAGCGCTGGGACTAAGCCTCGTTCATGCGAGCGCGTGAGTCATTAGGCACAGAGGGAATTCTGGGCGCCCGGACCGGAGTCAGGAAACTAGTGCTTGAAGCTCAGCTGTGCGACGTCCTCCATTTCAAATTTGATTTAGCATTTCTTTTAAAAACGTCATTGTGCATCGTCCCTCCCCATTTCCCTGGGGAAAACTTAATGGCCGACACCCTTTCCAGAGGCCTTTGACCTCTGGTGCGCTGCCACACCCCCTTTTTTTTTCACTTACTTAGTTTCAGTTTCTGAATTCTGTGGTCAGAGGGAACATGCTGATTTGTTAGTGAGCGCTGAAAACCTTTTTAGACGTACCATCTGCTGGCACCATCGTGGCTTACTCTATTTTTGGTGCATTGTCCCCTCTTGTATGTCACACTCCAGTGGGTCTATGGTGGAATCCAAGAGGTTTCCTCTTGGTATGGAATCTATAAAGTGATGATTCATTTCGTATGCCTAAGGTTCTGAAAGTGCACTCTATTGATAACCTGCAGAAAATGGGTAGGGCATCTTCTAACACAGGCTATATTTGGAATGCATTCTAAAAATTAGTAACTAATATGAAATTCAGTTCAAAACTTTCGTTGTTTATTCATAAGTTTACAGACTCATTTATAAACATGAAAATTTGATTGTAACATGATTATTTCTTAATATGAGCACAGTAGTTTCTACTTGTCTTTTATAGTATGCACTTTATAGTTATTTTATCATACAGCATATTTTTATTGACTATTAGGTTGAGTTTATAGTTAGAACCATTGAGATATGAATATGACTAAGAGAAATGTCCAGATTCTTAGTGTAGTAGAGGTAGGTCTAGAATATAGTCTTCTGAACTTCCACATTCTCTGCCAAAAAACTTGATGTTTTTATTCAGTCTTCCTGTTAGTAAGATATATCTGATGGTACAAATAGTAGAGTAGGAAGTTGCAGGTTAGCAATTCATCTGGTAGCATTTCCTTCCTTAATTTCTGGTAGTTTTACTATGAAATGTCAGGGTTGTTTTGCTGAATAAACCTGCCTTGTTTCATTGTTTAGAATGTTAGGCTTTTATTTTATTTTATTTTATTTTAATTTTATTGATTCTTTACAGAGAGGAAGGGAGAGGGATGAAACATCGATCAGCTGCCTCCTGCACACCCCCTACTGGGGATGTGCCTGCAACCAAGGTACATGCCCTTGACTGGAATCGAACCTGGGACCCTTCAGTCTGCAGGCCAGGCCGACGCTCTATCTCAGCCGTGGGCAAACTACGGCCCGCGGGCCGGATCCAGCCCGTTTGAAATGAATAAAACTAAAAAAAAAAAAAAAAAAAAAGACCGTACCCTTTTATGTAATGATGTTTACTTTGAATTTATATTAGTTCACACAAACACTCCATCCATGCTTTTGTTCCGGCCCTCCGGTCCAGTTTAAGAACCCATTGTGGCCCTCGAGTCAAAAAGTTTGCCCACCCCTGGGTTGATCCCTGGTCAGGGCAGGGCACGTACAAGAATCAACCAGCCAAGGCATAAATGAGTGGATCAACAGACCTCTCTGTCTCTCTTTCTTTCTCCTCCTCCCCTCTTAACTGAGTATTTGGTGCTCTACTATCTGGCCTCAATTTGCCCTTCCAACTTTATTTTCTACAGTTAGTCAAACTGATCTGTCTATTATTCCCCAGGGACTCCCATCCCCTATCCTTTTTTCCCCCCATCCGTGTCTTGATTTATATTGTCTGCCCTCCTCCCCCCAAAAGCACTCCTCTCCTGTCCTAATTCCCCTTAGATACCACCTCTTTCACAAAGCCTCTGATCATCCCAGCTGGAAGTCATCTCTCCTTGCTTTGAAATCTCAGAACATGGTAACTGCTACTTAATCACATTTTAACTTTATAGAGGTATTTTTTTCCTGTTTAGTCTCTTAAAGGGCAGGTCTAAGATGGTTCATTTTGTCTGCTCTACTGTGAATAGCATTAGGCAACTGATAAGTTCTGGAGTGGCTAAACGAATGAATTAATTAATATCTGAGTAAATAGGCTTCCTGGAATAGTACTCCTACCCATGGGCTGAGGTGGAGGGTAATGGGGATTTGAGGGTATGATACTTGCCATAATAAGATCCTGAGAAAGGGGTACTCTCTGCTCAATGCTCCTGCAGATACCATTAGCCCAATTGTACAAGTCCATTCAGGACACATTGACGCCTGACATGTTCCAGGTTCACTACTTGGCTTGAGAAATACAAACAATATCGTGTACTTTCACCTTAGGCACCCTTCAGATAGATAGCAAGGCGTTCCAGGACTCTGGCCGTTGGTATTTGGTATGGAGGTGCCAAGTCATATCCCCAAGTGAGGCAGTGCTCACTGTGCTGAAATCTGTCACAGATTTGCCTTATTAGAACGACACTGGCTTGGCTGTGCTTGGCTAACTTATGCTCTTGGTTGGTTTGACTAATCCATTCCCATAGTTTAGAAGTTTTATCCCAGTTACATTTTAAACTTGATTTGTGTTTAATTTTTAACTTTATTAAAGCCAACTTTACTGTGGAGCTCAGAAAAATTGGCAGTGGGTACTTTTACATTTCACTGGTTTCAGACTTTCGGGTGGACCTTTCTAGTCATCTTTCCCATTTTATTATTTTCCACTGTTGGGAAATACTGTGTCATTTTATTTAAGTCGATCAATAGTGATACTTGCTTAGGGAGGAAATAGACATACGTAACAGTCAGGTGTTACCATGGTATTGTACATGTAAGAAAAACAAGTCCACTCATTTTGAAACATTTCAGTGTCTCAGAACCATCCTTTCTCACACGTGCCCTCTATTCTGGTGCACCTTTATATTCCAGTCATTCAGTTGAACTCTTTTAATACTTGAAGCTCTCAGAATTCTTTTTGTGTCACTTCACCACTTAATTTCTACCTCTGCTTTAGGACTCAGGCCTCTCATCCCTTAAGAAACCTACCCCTCCCTTCCCACCTCCATCCTTCCCCTTTTAGGATGAGTTACTTGCCTCTTATGTCTGTTTCTGTCACACACTGTGCCTCTTTCAGAGAACTTACCGCAGTACATTATAGCTATTAGTTTACTTGTCTGTTTCTCCTAGCAAGCTGAAGTCTCCCCAATAAATGGGCCTATATCTGATTCCTCTTTTGTATCTAGAAGTTAGCGCAGTGTCTGTTATATATTTGATACTCAGTAAACGCTTATTAATTAGACAATTCAATGCCCAGCTTTCTAAACTCATTTCAGGGATGGAAGTTATCAGGAGTACTATTAATTTCTCTATTATTGGGCTGTGTTGTAAAAACATGAATTAGTAAGGAATTAATAACATTACATAGTTACGTATTTGTAACTGTAAAAATAACATTATTAAATAACGTTGTAAAACATTTATTAGTGGGCAATTAATTTCTTCTGTAAAAAGAATACAGAATTCAGTTCCTGAGCAACTTCTGTCCTATAAGCAATAATCTACCAGTTGGCACTTAACTATCATAAAAGTAGATGAAGCAGACTATCGCGTACCCAGAAAAAAGGTGGGTAAGGGAGGAGTGAAGGATAAAGAAGGGAGTGAGTTAGCAAAATGCCACACAGTTACTTGCAAACTAGCACAAAGGTGAATGTGCTTCATGAAGGTAGCTTGACTCAGAAGGGCTGAAATAGGAGCAAAGAGCAAAAGGCAACCAACGGTGACAGCAAGGATTCACAGAGAACAGGCAGGCATGCGAGCAGGTGAGCACCCAGGTGGGACATGGGTCCTGTGGGATTGTGGTCTCTCAGGCTCTGAGTGACAAGGAGGGAGGGAGCCCAGAAGTGAAGCTCTGGAGAGGCAGACAAGGGAAAAATAGTGTTTACTATAGAGACAAAGATACACTGAAAAGACTTTAGAAGGCGATGAGCATAGTGACAAACACTGGCTGGCACCAAAGTCTCAATGAAAAGAATTGAAGATGGGGCTTTGTTGGGAGTGAATAGGAGATAGAGAGCAAGAGATATTGAGAAGACCAATTCTGAAAGTAGTGGATTTAAATAAACTGATATGTACTCACCAGTTTAAACAAAATAAACCTGACTATGTACATTATTTTCAGTAGCATCTAAAACTTTTAATATAATTGACACATTTGGAGAAACAATCCTTCCTTGGAAGTTTGGAATCTTGGTCTTCCAAAGGGTAGGAAATCTCCTTTTGGAAAGAAGTCAGCTATTCTATTCTTCTTAAGTGGGTGAGATCCAGTCCCTGAGCTATTGAACACTGTTCTTCCCTTCAGAGTATTTATTCAACACCTACTTTGTGGTCGCTCTCTTCCAGCACCAAGAACACATCAGTGAACAAAACAGATATTCCTGTCCGTGTATAACTCACATTGGGAAGGGGAAGAGGTAGTTGGGGAACAGAAAGTATGAAAAAAACAACAACACACCCAAAATAGTAAATTATATAGTGCATTAGAAGATGAGAAGTGCTATGGAGAAATATAACAGGGAAGGAAGGTAGATGTGTATGTGACTGGGTGGGTTGCATTTTATAGAGTGGACAAGGAAGGTCTCACTGAGAATCTAATGGCAATTGAGCAAAAACTAAAGCGAATGAGCAAGCTGTGCAGGCTGGTGTCATGTAAATAGGACACTATTCTATGTATTCTAAATTGTAAACCTTTCTATTACCATTCTTAAAGTAGCTCATTTTAAAAAATGAGATTAGAAGTGGTGTTAGAAGGTGGGAATGAGAGCAAAAGAGGCGTTTTATGTGTTCATCCTTTGCTGTCTTTAATGTTTAGTTTTACTAGTACACTGAACACCTGGTATGACTCTGCAGTTTTCACTCCATGAAAAAAGGATACCTAGTATGCATTTTTTTTCCCTTTGAAATCTCTTTTGAAAAACAAATTCTTGCTTAATGGAAATAGAAGATGGAGAGGTTTTTCAGAAACAACAGTAATAGAGAAAATATGAATGAGCCCTGAAGAAGCTGTACATCAGTCATGGAGATGGGGGAAGACTGGTGACTGGAAAGTCCCTAAATACACTTCCTGGGGAGAAAAGGGATCAGGTATTGAATATGGTTTGAGCTCTGGACAAGGCCAGGATCTGTTAATGCTCAGAGAATCCTAAAGGTGGTTTCTGTTTTCAGTTACTTAGATTGATCTACATGACCAGCTTATTTTCTGTAAAAGAAGAATCAGCCAAAGGGAGTAATTTAAGACGTGAGTATGAATCTGGCCAGGCATCTGCCCTGGTTTCAGTGGTTGATTTCATGGGATGAAGTTTCCTTTGTGTAAGATTCTAAAAATTCTCCTTTCCTAACCAATAACTCTCATTCTTAACTCTTCAGCCTTGAAGAGTGTTCATACTGATAATTCTAACTCTGCCTTTGTAGTATCTCAGAACAACTCTCTTTTAAATAGTTTAAAATTCCAAATGCAATTAATTTTAATTTGCTTTTATTTTATGTGTCCCCTGTGGAGAGTGTTACGTTTTGATATAGGAGATCAACAAACTTCAGAATGATTGAAAATCCTCACTCAGTATTCCAAATATACTGAGTATTCTATTAGAGATAAGGGGACTGGGAAATGGGGACTTTGGAATTAGATCTTGTTTAACCAGTAACTATGGCTTATACCAGGTGAATTTCAGAGATTAAGCTGGATAAGAAAACCCCCCAAAAAACTGTTTTGGCACATCAGAATGACAACTAAACTACAGAACAACCATCATTCAGAACCATCTGAAATCTAGCTGAATGGCAATCCTACAACTAGGGATTTAAAGCAGAAGCCACAGTAAGACTGGTAGTAGGGGTGAGACAGAACAGGCTGATCCCACATCCATGTGTAATGGATAAAAATTGGGAGGAGTATTTTGGCTGCAGAGGTCCCCCCTGAGAAGCGAGGGGTCCCAGCCCCACACCCAGCCCCCCAGCCCAGGGTTCTAGTACCTGGAAGAGAGATCCCCATGACTTCTGACTGTAAAAACCAGCAAGGATTATAGCTGAGTGAGATGGAGTATTGCCTCATAAAGGGTTCACACTTGGACTAACTTGGTCTCACTCCCTCTGAGCTCCAGTGCTGGGGCAGCAGATTGAAAGGAACCAGGGACTTATGGGGAACTAAATTATCTGACATTAGGGCAAGAGTTTAGGGGACAGCTTTCTTCCCGATGAAAGTGCCAGCAGAGGCCATTGTTCTTTTTTGGAGACCCCCTCTGCAGAGATAGTAGGAGGGAGCCATATCTGAGTTTTCCATCAACCTGGCTCACACTGTTTGCCCCACCCTGGTGATTCCTTGAGACCCCACCCAAATTGTTTCCAGTGGCTTTTCCACATGAATGGTCTGTTTTGGCTTGTGCTTCAGATTTTCCTAAAATCTCTCAAGCAGCATCTGGCCTCAGTGTGCCCCATACCTCTCACTAAAGTGACCCCAGGTCCAGCACTAGTAAGTAGCAGCAGCCTTTGTTTGCAGCTTGGTCTCATCAGGGCACCTCCAAGCCCAGCACAAGTAGCAGCCATCTGCAGATCACTTTGTAGCTCATGCTGCGTGGCCCCAGGCAGAGCACAGGCAGCAGCTGACCTTAGCCTGAACTTCCTGGGAGGCCCAAAGTCAGTGCACCCAGTGGACAGCTTCAGACCACATTGAAGCACCACCCAACCACCTCCACATGTGGCACACTTCAGAGGTGGACTCAGCAGGCACCAAGCCCTGCCGAAGTCTTGCTTTGTGGGGTGGGCCCTGCATAGCTGATCTTCCACGGTCATTGGTGGTCACAGCCAGTCCTTGCAGCTGATTGGCCTGGGGGATAAATCCCTCCCATTGTTGTACATACAGCAATCAAGGCTCAACTACACAGGAGGGTGTACATAGCCCACCTGGGGCGGGGATCGGAGAGTACAGGGTGCCGCAACCTTTTGCGGCGGGGGTTCAGGATCTGAAGAAGGGGCTGACGCACAAATGAAAACACTAGACAAGAAATATGAATTTAGAAGGCATGGGGGGCCAGGTTCTTGGAGAGGCACATTGAAACCTGGCCTTATCCGCTTTTTATTCAATTTTAGATATACATCTTGCCCTCAGTAAAGCACAGCAAACAGGTAGCAGACAAACCGTCTCTAAGGTCAATAAACATCAGTGAAGATCAGTAAGGTTCAGCAAACATTTACTTGGAGGCTGTTAAGTCAGGAATTTGCTTTGAGCCACCACTATCTCAACACAGCCTTGCTAACGTCCAAGGTCCATTGGCCTCCCGCGTTCCTTGGCGCACTCTTATGGCAGTATTGGGAAAGTGGTGGCTTCCTGCAACAGTGCACCTAGAGTGCCCAGCTCAGGTGAATAGGGAGGCTGTGTCACTGGACCCTATAGAACACCTAGTACATAAGGCCACCCTGCCGTTCGGGGGATGTTGCAGCTCTACCTAATAGAAACAAACACCGGGAGGCAGCCAACATGAGGAAACAAAGAAACACGTTCCAGAGGAAAGAACAGAACAAAACTCCAGAAAAAGAACTAAACAAAATGGCAACAATCTACTAGATGCAGAGTTCAAAACACTGGTTATAAGTATGCTCAATGAATTTAGTGGAAACTTCAACAAAGAGGGAGGAAACATAAAAATGGAGATAGAAAACAAAAAAGAACCAGTCAGAAATGAAGACTATACTAACTGAAATGAATACATTATAGGGAGTCAACAGTGGAGTACATGAAACAGAGAATCAAATCAGAGATTGGGAATGTAAGGAAAGCAGAAAACACCCAATCAGAACAGCAAAAAGAAAAGAAAATTACCCCCAACCAAAAAATAAAAAATAAAAATGAAGATAGTATAATGAGTCTCTGGGACAACTTTGAATAATGGGAGTGCTGGAAATAGAAGAGAGAGAACAGAAAGTTGAAAACCGTCCAGCTGGTGTGGCTCTGTGGGTGGGTATTGCCCTATGAACCAGGAGGTCACTGTTCAATTCCCAGTCAGGGCACATGCCCAGTTTGTGGACTTGATCCCCAGTGTTCGGCATGCAGGAGGCAGCTGATCAATGATTCTCTTTCATCATTGATGTTTCTATCTCTCCCTCTCCAGTTCTCTCTGAAATCAATGAAAATATATTTTTTAAAAAGAAATTGAGGCCGAAACCAGTTTGGCTCAGTGGATAGAGCGTCGGCCGGCGGACTGAAGGGTCCCAGGTTCGATTCCTGTCAAGGGCATGTTCCTTGGTTGCAGGCATATCCCCAGTGGGAGATGTGCAGGAGGCAGCTGATTGATGTTTCTCTCTTATCGATGTTTCTAACTCTCTATCCCTCTCCCTTCCTCTCTGTAAAAAATCAATAAAATATATTTAAAAATAAAATAAAATATATTTTTAAAAAAAAAGAAATTGAGCCGTACCCAGTTTTGCTCAGTGGATAGAGCATCGGCCTGTGGACTGAAGAGTCCCAGGTTCGATTCCGGATTCTGGTCAAGGGCACGTGCCTCACTTGCAGGCTCCCGGCTCTGGTCAACCAATCAATGTGTCTCACATTGAGGTTTCTCTCTGTCTCTCCCTCTCCCTTCCACTCTCTCTAAAAATCAATGGATGGAAAAAATATCCTCGGGTGAGGAGAAAAAAAAACAACAGAAATCGAAATTCTATTTGAAAAAAATGACAGAAAAACTTCCCTAACCTGGTGAAGGAAGTAGACAAACAAGATGAATCCAAAGAGGCCCACACCAAGACGCATAATAATTAAAATGCAAAAGGTTAAAGACAGAGAATCTTAAAAGCAGCAAGATAAAAGCAGTTAGTTACCTAGAAGGGAGCTTCCATAAGACTGTCAGCTGATTTCTCAACAGAATTTTGCAGGCTAGAAGAGAATGGCAAGAAATATTCAAAGTGATGAAAAGCAATGACCTACAACCAAAATTACCCAGAAAAGCTATCATTTCTAATGGAAGGAGAGAAAAAGGGCTTCCTAGACAAGAAAAAGCTAAAGGAGTTAATCACCATCAAACATTATTACATGAAATATTAAAGCCTCTTCTTTAAGAAGAAGAAGAAGAAAGATAAAAAATAAACAATCAAATCACATATCTACCAACAATTGAATCTAAAAAACAAGATAAACAAACAGAACAGATATAGACTCATAGATACAGAAAACATTGTGATGGTTGCAGATTTGGGGATGGCTGGGAGGATGGGGGGAAAAAGGTGAGGGGATTAAGAAGTACAAATCGGTTGTTGCAGAATAGTAATGGGATGTAAATTATAGCATAGGAAATATAGTCAATAATATCCTATTAACTATGTATGGTGTCATTTGGGTATGAGATTTATCAGGATGATCACTTAGTAAGTTATATAAGGTCTAGTCCAGCCGTGGGCAAACTACGGCCCGCGGGCCGGATCCGGCCCGTTTGAAATGAATAAAACTAAAAAAAAAAAAAAGACCGTACCCTTTTATGTAGTGATGTTTACTTTGAATTTATATTAGTTCACACAAACACTCCATCCATGCTTTTGTTCCAGCCCTCAGGTCCAGTTTAAGAACTCATTGTGGCCCTCGAGTCAAAAAGTTTGCCCACCCCTGGGTTAAGGCCTATTTAGCTGTTTTAAATTAAGTTGATTATTTCCTTGAAATGTGGTTGCATGTGCAAGCCAATGTCAACATTGTTGGTCACAGTGTCAGTCCAAAGACCTGATTTTTGAAGGTTGGGAACACCCTGGTGCTGGGACTTTATAACTCCTTTGGAACTTTATAACTTTATTTCAGAAATTGAAGCTTCTTATATCAAAAAGAAGAAAGAGAGGTAGCAGGGAGAGAGGGTTAGTATATGATCTAAAGACAAAGTTGTCAAAGTGGCGAGAATAAAATTTGACTACAATAGGAGCAAGGTGTCAGAGAGAGCTTTTGAATATGTGAGATCCACCCTACAGTTAAAAGCAGAGCTTGGTTAAATATATTTTAAAACCCAAATTTCCTTTTGCAACCAGATAGCCTTCAGAAAAGGTCCTAAGAGTCTGTGTCACCCTGGTCTATCTGGTTGTTCTGGTTATTAGAAATAGAGAAGAAGGAGCACCTTAGGAAAGGGGTGGTACTTCTATGATGGGTGTTTCTTCTTTTACAGGTGTAAACAAAAAGGCCACTTGATCTAAGCTTGCGTGTCTTTATCCTATAAGCCACTGCAGGTGTTTGAGCGGCACTGCTTCTACAACAAAGGTCTAGAGACTCACCACATCTTGGGAAGAGAATGGCCACTTCCTGGGGAGCAGCCTTTTTCATGTTAGTGACATCCTGTGTTTGCAGCACTATCTTCCACAGAGACCAGCAGACTTGGTTTGAGGGTGTCTTCCTGTCTTCCATGTGCCCCATCAATGTCAGTACCAGCACCTTGTATGGAATTATGTTTGATGCAGGGAGCACTGGAACACGAATTCATGTTTACACCTTTGTGCAGAAAATAGCAGGTAAGTGCAACTGGTACCCTCACCAGAGTCAATAAATCCATACTCTAGTAAAAACAAATGTACTGAGAGTGTGTAATGTGCATTACAGAATCTTATGGCTCCTGAATGTCTTTCTTCAGAGAACATTTTGGATTATAATTGAGTACATAATGTTTAATTCAGTGTGAGATTAAGGGGGATCTGGGTTGCCTGTAGTTTGAAACCCATGTGTCCAAGAAGTATAGCTGAAATTTGTCTTTCCTTTCCTTTTCTTTTTTTAAATATATTTTATTGATTTTTTACAGAGAGGAAGGGAGAGAGATTGAGAGCTAGAAACATCGATGAGAGAGAAACATCGATCAGCTGCCTCCTGCACACCCCCACTGGGGATGTGCCCGCAACCAAGGTACATGCCCCTGACCAGAATCGAACCTGGGACCTTTCAGTCCGCAGGCCGACACTCCATCTGCTGAGCCAAACCGGTTATGGCTGTCTTTCCTTTTCTTGAAAGGTGGTTGATACTTCCGGGTGCAGAATATTGAGAATATTGAGGTAGTCTTGAGAGAAGGATCACTACCATCCTTGGAGAAGGGGAGAAGGGACCCTGAAGTATAATTTTTTCTGAATTTCCAGGGTTTCTGTCTTCAGGTTACATATAAAGCCTAGGGAAAGGAGTAGGAACTAGGTGTCCACCAGAGAAATGACAAGGGGACTCTCAGGGATTGCCTATCATCCTCTGTCCTCCTCCTCAATACTCCTGCAAGCCATTCCTCACAGGGGGGATCACCTGGAATAGCTCAGGGAATAGCAGGTTAATCTAGGAGGTCGTGTGACACACAGCCCAGTATCAGAAGCAGCTTAACTTTTGGTAATCAGCCATCTCTCTTCTGTTTTAATCCCTGGACAAAATAGGACAGCTTCCAGTTCTGGAAGGGGAAATTTTTGATTCTGTGAAGCCAGGACTTTCTGCTTTTGTAGATCAACCTAAGCAGGTGAGTTGTTGGTTGTTGTTTTTTTTAATTTTAATAAGATGTTTAGATTCTCAATATCTTGATAATTTCACCACACAGCTGCTGTTAAATAACTCGTGCTGTACACTACTGATACTGAGGTTATGTGTGAGATTGATTTTCTGTCCTCTGCTAATCTCCTGGATAACAGAAATTTTATATCCTGAACTCATTAAGGCTTTGGTGGAAGGAGGCTAGAATCTCTTTAAGAGATTGCTTCCTTTGTATTTACTGTTTAAGATTTTTATTTGAAGCCATCAGCTGCATTGATTAATGTAGATGCAGAAGATGAACATGAAGTTCTATAGGGTATGAGATATAAACATGACAGACAATTTAGGGAATGTTGACCCATTGAACTCCTTTCAGAACACCATGATATAGGACAGACCATGCCTATACTCTGGAAATTAGGCAAGAATATATGATGAAAAAATCTTTGGTGGCAGAGGATGAATGGTTTTGTTGTGTGTTTCACATTGGGGCACCCACAACATATGCAACACCCAGTGTGTCAGAGGCCACATTAAAATATAATAATTCAGAATAAAATAGAATGTTGAACTTTGGTAGCAGCTGTAAAGATATTATTCAGTGCCTCAAGCATAATCACTAACCAAAGGGAAACCTAGTGCTAAAAATAGTTTGAACTTGGAGAACTGAGAAGATGCTTATTTTCTCAGCTCACTGTTTTGAAATGGCAAAAATGCTAGAAAACTAGGAGCTCTTGAAAGCAACTGCATTATAAAAGACTGAGTCAACATTTAGAGAAGAAGATTGTGTTATGGTTGCTGTTAATTATAATGATTATAAGAGGCAGCATGTATCAGGATAGGTGTTTACTCAGGGAAACAGAGGATTTAAAATAATGCTTTTGAATTAATCATAAATTGAGCATTACTGTGCACCATGCATGTAGATGTCAGTGATGTAAAAATGAACCTGACATATTTTGTCCTAATGGAAATAATATAAAGTGTAGCATAATAATAGCTACAGCTGGCCTTTGTGTGGAAGCTACACACAGTCTGCCTCATTAATGTACACAGCAGTTTGTGGTGGTGTGAGGAATCTATCCCATCTCACAGCAGAGGAAGCCAAGTCCAGGAAGCCCCTATGGTAGGCACAGGGTTAGCAAGCAAGCCTTCTAACTCCTCATTATGTGTTTCCTTCACTATATTCAACTTTTTGGCCTGAAGCTAATTTATATGAGACACAAAATAGCAGTCAATTAAAATGACCACACTATAAAAGAATCATTTTTATTACTACTTAACCAAAATGAAATGGATTCTCCTTCAAAGAAGCCCATTTGTCTAGGTTTCTGCTCCTACAGAAACACGATGAGGGAATATACAAGTGCCACCATATGGACTCTTTACTGCATGAGCGGCTCTTCTCTCTTTGAAGGGTGCTGAGACTGTTCAAGAACTCTTGGAGGTGGCCAAAGACTCAATCCCCCGAAGTCATTGGAAAAGGACCCCAGTGGTTTTGAAGGCAACAGCGGGACTGCGCTTACTGCCAGAACAGAAAGCCCAGGCTCTGCTCTTTGAGGTAATATTTGAAATCATCTGCATCTTGGGTAATTCTTTTTCCCTATATAAATATTTTCTTTATGGGTTTAAAGCCCTCTGGCGTGTTAACCTTTAGTATTGCACCATTGCTAAAGCACTGTGGTGACTTTGGGCTCTTTTGTAGCTAATTATTTGCATTTCAAAATATTACTCTTGAATTTATGGAGTTTTTCCTAAAAATTTTAAAGCACTTTCTATCCATGATGTTCTTTTTTAAAAAAATATTTTTAGCAATTTTTAGGGAGAGAGAGAGAGAGAGAGAGAGAGAGAGAGAGAGAGAGAGAGAGAGAGAGAAACATTGATGTGAGAGCAAAACATAGATTGGCTGCCTCCTGTACGCTCCCTACCGGGGATCAAGCCCACAACCTGGTCATGTGCCCTGACCAGGAATCAAACTGGCAACCTTTTGGTGCACTGGAGACCACCCAACCTAATGAGCCACACTGGCCAGGATCATGATGCTCTTAATTTTCTAAACTTATTACAGCAGAATTGTTTTTAATCAACTTTAATGAGAAATAACTTACATACAATTAAATGTGTCAATTTTAAGTATACAATTAAATGAATGTTGACAAATACATATGTTCCTTGTGCCCCTTTGTAGTCAATTTCCCCCTCCAGTGAAACCAGGCAACAACTGATCTGCTTTATGTCATTATAGATTCGTTTTACGTGTTCTTACATTTTCTGTAAATGGAGTCATACAGTTTTATATTTCTTTTTTGTATGTGTCTTACTTTTTTCTCTCAGTATAAAGGTTTTGAGAAGAATCATGGAATTGTAAAGTATGAAAGATTTTTAAAGATATCTATTTTATCGCTCATTCAGATCAAAACTAAGTACAGAGAGTTTTAAAAAACTCAATATTTTAAACATTATTGTACATTTTATTATACAAAAATGTGTAAATTAATAAGATTAATAAGATTTAATATTGTGAAGAATATATGCAGAATCCCATTATAACAAAAAAAAAATCACAGCAAAAAAATGATTCTGTATTTAGGTGTGTTAATTCAGTCTTATAAATCCGCTAGAGGCTGATGCACGAAATTTGTACAAGAGGTTTGGCCCTCGTAGCCCCAGCTTCGTCCGGAAGGTCGTTCCGCTGTTCTGCCATTCAGTCGATTTGCATATTACCTTTTATTATTATAGATTCTCCTTTGACTGTCAGTACAGAGGGCTTAAGTCCCTTGCCCAAGGACAAACTGCCTGGAATGTCCTTATGAAAATCTGAATCCCTATTCTTCATTCATTCATCCATTCATTCATTCATTTATTCATCATATAAGTGCTTTACTATGTACTGGGCACTGGTGAAGTGGGACATAGAGCAGGGAACAAAAATAACACTGTCCCTGTCTTAATGGAACTAACATCCTAGTTTCCAAGACAAAATGAATGAACAAGTCAATACAAAGTATGTCAGGTACTTTAGAAGCTATGGAGAAAAAATAAAGCAGGGTAAGGCAGATCGAAATGCTGGTGGTAGTGTGAGAGAGATGCTATTTTAAATAGGGTGGTCAGGAAAGACATCATGGGTAAGTTGCATTTGATCAGAGATCTGAAGGGAATGAAGAAACAAGCTATGTAAAACGTTTGTGAAGTAAAATATTCCATACTAGAGAAACAGGTGTAAAGACCTAAATCAGGAATGTGCTTGGCATGTTCAAGGAACAGCATCCAGGGTAGGGTGGCTAGAGGAGAGGGAGTGATGGAAGGGAAGTAGGAGATAAGTTCAGAGAGGTGGGAGGGGTTTATCATGTAGGGCATCAAAGGCCTATGTAAGGACTTCGGCTTTTTCTCTAAGAAGGAAGCCACAGGAGGGTTTGAGCTAAGGAGAGACATAATCTGATGTCTGTTTTTAAAACACCACTCTTGGCTGCAGTGTTGAGAATTAATTGTGAGCAGAGGCATGGAGTGGAGAGGGCAAGAGCAGAAACTATGTTTATTCCTGTTTGCTTATCTATCTTCCTAAATGCTTGTTTATGGATCACTTAACTGACCTTTCCTGGTTGAAACAGTGTTCAGAGGTCACTGCAAGAAGTGTTTTGTCCTGTCAGAAATGAGAACAACCAAGACTAGAATTTTTCCTATCTCTATTTGGGACCTCTCCCTCCCCAACATGATAATCATATAAAAATAAGACATAACACTCACATTATTGACCTATATTTATGGAGAGTCAAGAGCATTTGCGCAAGCTCTTCATTCTCATCTTCTAAAATAGAATAAGTAAATTCAAATTTGAGTCCCTAGCCATGTGCCAGGATTTGATAGGGGCTGGCAGCAGAGTACTTCAGCCCAGGGACATGAGCTCCTTTACCACTAAGGACAAAAACTAGAATTTGATAGGAGAGCAGCAGAAATTTTATTGTAGCCTAAGGAGCCCCCCAGGCCCAACTCTTCTCTACTCTCCAAGTTTATCTGCTAATCTAAGAAATGGAGTGGGAAGGGGTCCTCCTAGCTTCCAGTACATATCCAGGTAGAATTAGTCAGGTGTTTTAAAAAAATTACAGGATCCTGATTTGAGCAAGGTCAAATGTATGCCCTTTCCTAGGTCCAGTTCACCTATAAATGTAGATGATTTGGTTGCAATTTATTTTAAAGTCAAGGGAATCCCTGTGTTTTCTTTTTACAAGAAACCACTAATAGCTTGCTTAGTTCCTTCTCCAGCTCTTTTTTTCTTTTTAAAATATATTTTTATTGATTTCAGAGAAAGGAAGGGAGAAAGAGAGAGGGATAGAAACATCAATGATGAGAGAATCGCTGATGGGCTGCCTCCTGCAAACTGGGGATCCAGCCTGCAAACTGGGCATATGCCCTGACTTCCTGGTTCTTAGGTTCATGCTCAACCGTGAGTCACACCGGCTGGGCCTTTTCTAGTTTCTTTAGGGAAAATGAATGAGTTCTAAGATTTTATTTAGGGAAAATGAAGAGAGTAGTTTTCTAAGCCTTTTAGGACATAGCCAAAATATGGAAATCTATTTTATTGCCTTAGGGAATTCAAATTTTTTCCTTTTTCTCTAGGTAAAAGAGATCTTCAAGAAGTCACCTTTCCTGGTACCAGATGACAGTGTTAGCATCATGGATGGATCCTACGAAGGTGGAGAGGTGTTGATATATGTTCTAGAGGGAGAGGGCCAGGGTTAATAAAAGATCTGATTAAAGGACTGTGAACAGGATGGGGGTACTGAAGAAAAAGGAACTAAGGGGAAACAAATAAGCATAGAGGAATGGAATAGCAGGAAATGGTAGGATGGGGAGAAGGGAAGTGTGCGCTTTAGACATGAACTTTAGAGAGAAAAGAGAACAAAGATGGGGCCCAAGAAGAGAGGGAAAGTGCTCTGTGATGTAATCCTTGTCTTTCTGTCTTTTTTAGGCATATTAGCTTGGATCACTGTGAATTTTCTGACAGGTAATACATTCTCAAGTGTATCTTAAGATTTTGACTGGGTTTCACACAGGGTCACTGCAAAATTACCTTTCTTTTTTCCTGTATTATTCTTTCCTTTTGTAAAAAAGAGAAAAGGAAAGACAGGATTTAGTGTTTATAACCTGCCTTCAAGGCCTCAGCTGCAGCAAGAGTCCTTCGTGGTTAACATTTGCCTGTAATCCGTGGGGGCAGGGAGCAATGGAGTGTTTATGGAATTCCTCCAGGGCAGGAGAGAAGTTGCAGACCAAGGAGTATTGGGCTGTCCAGGAGCAGAACATTTTCAAACTGGCTCTCATCCACAGGTCAGCTGCATGGCCACAGTCAGGAGACTGTGGGGACCTTGGACCTGGGGGGAGCCTCCACCCAAATCACATTTCTACCCCAGTTTCAGGTGAGTCATTACCATGAAGGTTTGGTTAGCAACTCACTTGGCAGGCATATCATGGTGCTAGGAAAGTGGTGCCCTATTTTTAGGCAGCAGCTCCACCACAAATAGGCTGAGTAGAATAAATTAATAACTGAGTGGACTTTTCTTTATCACTGTTCAGAGTCCCTTTGCTTCCTCAGGCCATATGAGATTAGCAGTTTAATCTGTCTCTGTCATCTCTTGTTTTCTGGGGGAGGGACAGGGATGGTGGTGATGACATCCTTAGAATAATCACAGATTCTAAATAGCCTTTTTGCTTTTTTTTAATTTTCAGAACACCCTGGAACAAACCCCTAGGGGCTACCTCACTTCCTTTGAGATGTTTAATAGAACTTATAAGCTCTATACATATAGGTGAGGAGGGGGACAGGGAGGAATAATATTTCATGTAGTATGAGCCTTCTAACTTTTAAAAAAAATATATTTTTGTTGATTTCAGAGAGCAAGGGAGAGGGAGAGAGAGATAGAAACATCAATGATGAGAGAGAATCATTGATTGGCTGCCTCCTGCATGACTCCCACTGGGAATTGAACCTACAACCCGGGCACATGCCCTGACTGGGAATCAAACCGTGACCTCCTAGTTCATAGGTCTACACTCAGCCACTGAGCCATGCCGGCCGGGCAAGTCTTCTAACTTTTTTTTTTTTTTTTAATTTTTAAAAAAAATATATTTTATTGATTTTCCACAGAGAGGAAGAGAGAGGGATAGAGAGTTAGAAACATCAATGAGAGAGAAACATCGACCAGCTGCCTCCTGCACACCCCCCACCGGAAATGTGCCCGCAACCAAGTTACATGCCCCTGATCGGAACCGAACCTGGGACCCTCCAGTCCACAGGCTGACGCTCCATCCACTGAGCCAAACCGGTCAGGGCTCTTTTAACTTTTTAAAGCATTTTCACATCTATTATTGCATCTGACAAGCCTTACATGGTCTTTACCATTCCCTGAAGGCCTATTACCTGAAAATCAACTCACTTACCAAATGCCAAGGCAAGCATGTCAAACTTGTGGGTTTGACATGCTTGTACCAAGGAATCCAAGGATTTATTCATTCTTGGCTTCCAACATATATGACTTAAAGAGTCAAAAGTTTTCTCTATAAAGAGGACACTCAGTAAAAGCTCAGCCAAAGCTCTGTGCCAACTCTATTGAGTTTGCCTTCAGATGTTCAAAATCCAGCCTAGGATTTGATCACAGTGAGTCTGGGAGCTAAGATGAGAGCTTTTCTGGGGATAGTTCCCAGGGTGGGACCCTAGGCAGCGTCACTATCTCTGACCTTTAAGTCATAGCTGTGGAGAGTAGTTACTACAGGGCCCTGATCTAAACTGTGCAGAAATTACCACTTAGCCACACTAGATGAATAGGTTACAGAGGAACCATGTTACTTTTGAAAGAGGTAGCTTTAGGCTGGAGGACTTCAGGACCAGCATGAAGGTAGTCAATCCTGTATTTTACAGTTACTTGGGATTTGGATTGAAAGCTGCAAGACTAGCAACTCTGGGAGCCCTGGAAACAGAAGGTTCGTCTGGGTACCTGTGCTGGTTGGGGTTTGGTGAGAGTGAACCCAATCCTTTTCCCTCCCTTGGCAATGATTCTGTGGAGGAAAGAGTTAAGCTAAATTAGGAAGCACCTATATATATAAAAACCCAAGTGACCAGTTGATCGTTCAACCAGTAGGTATGATGTGCACTGACCACCAGGGGGCAGGTGCTCAACACCTTGGCATGAAAACATGGGAGAGACTGATGAATCTCAGAGGGAAGGAGGGCGGGGGAGGACGAGAAGAGATTAACCAAAGATCTTATATGCATACTAGAGGCCCGGTGCACAGATTCAGTGTATGGATTCTTGCACTGGTGGGGTCCTTTGGCCTGGCCTGCAGGGATTGGGCCGAAATTGGCAGTCCGACATCCCCCTAGGGGTCCCGGATTGAGAGGGTACAGGCCAGGCTGAGGGACCCCACCGGTGCACGAATTCGTACACCGGGCCTTTAGTATGTTATACAATGGACATAATAATGGCAAATTCTTTTTTGCCTTTATGAGTTCAGATAAGTTTTGGTATGCATTATTAGTCATTTCTAGAATAAGGTCTGTTTGTATGGGGCAATAGCCTGTGGCCAGGAGGCTGAAGTATCTGCAGAAATTCAAGGCTCAGAGAGCAAATTTAGTAGAAGCTTACTCAAGCCCTTGGCTTTACATGGGAGATACAGATGCAGAAAAATCCACTTGCAGGGTGGAATAGCTGAGCAACTCCGTTCACCTCCTCACAGGTGGTAGAAGGGTTAAAAGTTTGGCTTTTTTTTTTAACCGAATCTTTTTCTTTGTATGTTTTTATTGATTTTTTGAGAGAGGAAAGGAGAGGGAGAGAGAGTTATAAACATCGATTGGCTGGGGATCAAGCCCACAACCTGGGCATGTACCCTGACCAGGAATCAAACCAGCGACCTCTTGGTGCATGAGTTGATACTCAACCACTGAGCCACATGGGCTGGGCAAGAGCTCAGCTTTTGCGGTCAGGTAGAATTGGGTTCAGTTTCAGTTTTGTGATTTGGGGCAAGTTAGCTACCTTTCTGTGCCCCTTTCCTCACCTTAAGTAAGATTTTACATTTAAAGCACTTTGTATTACTTTGCAATAATAGCCAGTAAGCTATTATTGTGGTGATGATTGTATAGCATTTCAGTTTATAAATGTGTTTCATTTAAGCCTCATAACAACCAATGAGAAAAGTAGAACAGTATTTCTCAACCCCCACCCCCCCACCCTTTTTTTTTTTTTTTAGAAAGGAGGGAACTTATTCCATTGTAGGTTTGGGATTTCTTTCAGATGTGATGAAAGCCATGGATCCTTCCACCAAATGCACATATGACAGAAATGTGCTCATAGTTTTAGGGGCTTCACCAACACCATGAAGCCCGTCCATGAACCCTTGTTAAGAATTCCTGTCCTAGGATGTAGTCATGGAACCAATTTAATATGATTGGAAAGCCCAGCCACCTTGGTGATTACTTTCCACCTTAGTGGCTTCTTGCTTGCCTCCCTCTCTCACATCCTTGCCTCTTACTTTGTGGTCTGGTGTTTTCCTTTCAGGGACTGAGGGACGTACTTTTCGAAGTGCCTGTCTACCAAGATGGTTAGAAGCAGAGTGGATTTTTGGGGGTGTGAAATACCAGTATGGCGGCATCCAAGAAGGCAAGTGATGTTTTTTCACTGGTTGAAATTATTTTTACACTTGAAGTCTGGAGAAGTTCCATGTGAAACTTTTTACAGAGCTCAAGAGAAACTTGCCATATTGCAGAGACTCATTGCAAAGAGAGATTGGTACGCCTCCAGGAAATAGTGGGAAGTGACAGTGAACAGCTGTCGTTCTGTATCCTGCTCTTTCCCTGGCCCAGTGTTGTGGATTCATTAGACCTGGGGTCTCATGCATTAAGGGTCTCTGCCCTCAGCAGGGTGAACCTGAAAATTGAGATGATAGGGAGAATAATTCACTTTAAGTTTCATAAAAGGCATAGACCTTGAAATCAAGGAAGAACTTGATTTTTCTAGTAAAGGAAGCAGGCAAGCCTTCTAGCTACTTCTCATAAGCACCATGAAACATACTGTGAGGCAGCAGCTCTAGGCTGACTGGGGCTGTTTTTGATGAGCACAGGTCAGGGAGGGCGCTTCATAGAGAAGCAGGTGCCTTTCCTCCAGACGGCGAGGCTATGGAATTTCGCTCACCTCTGTAAGCCTTTTGTCCTGAGCCTCAGCTGTCGTTGTTTCCTCCTCCTGTGTCCTCGTTGGCGCCAGTAGCTTGTCTCAGAGAGTGGTTCTTCCCTGTCATTTTTCTCACCGTGTCCCTGTGCACTTTGCCCTGGCAGGGGAAGTGGGCTTTGAACCCTGCTATGCTGAAGTCCTGAGGGTGGTCCAAGGAAAACTTCACCAGCCAGATGAGATCCAGAGAAGCTCCTTCTATGCTTTCTCTTACTACTATGATCGAGCTGTTGACACACACATGATTGGTAAGTTCACTCCAGGTGTCAAGTCAGGGAGGACACTGGGCAAGGCCCTGGTGGGAAAGGGAGAGGGATTCTCTGAAATGCTTGGTCGGAGGTGATCATCCTACTCTTCTTCAGTGCTGGTTGTTGAGTGGCGCTAGTTACTCGAATGGAAGGGGGCATATGATTGAGAATCTTTTAAAGCTAGAAAATGGCCTTAAAATTTTACATGAAGTCTTTTTTCTTTTTTATTGAGGTATAATTGACATAAAATAAAATGCACATACTTTATTTTTTATTAAAATACTAGAGGCCTGGTGCACAAAAATTTGTGCACTCGGGGGAAGGGGGTCCCTCAGCCCGGCCTGTGCCCTCTCGTAGTCTGGGACCCCTCAGGGGATGACCACCTGCTGGCTTAGGCCTCCTCCTCGGGAGACTGGGCCTAAGCTGGCAATCAGACATCCCTCTGGCAGCCCGGCAGCCCTTGGGGGATGCCCACTTGCCAGCAGGGAGCAGACCTAAGCTGCAGTCGGACATCCTCAGCACTGCTGAGGAGGCAGGAGAGGCTCCCACCACGACCGCTGTACTGGAAGCCATCAGCCTGGCTTGTGGCTGAGCAGAGCTCCCCGCTGTGAGAGCGACTGACCACCAGAGGGCAGCTCCTGCATTGAGCGTCTGCCCCCTGGTGGTCAGTGTGTGTCATAGTGACCAGTCATTCCCAGTCTTTCTGCTGTTAGGGTCAGTTTGCATATTACCCTTTTACTATATAGGATAGAGGCCTGGTGCAAGGGTGGGGGCCGGCTGGTTTGCCCTAAAGGGTGATCCGGATCAGGGTGGGGGTCCCGCTGGGGTGCCTGGCCAGCCTGGGTGAGGGGCTGAGGGCCGTTTTCAGGCAGCCACACCCACTACAGCAGTGGTTCTCAACCTTCTGGCTATTTAAATACAGTTCCTCATGTTGTGACCCAACCATAAAATTATTCTTGTTGCTACTTCATAACTGTAATGTTGCTACCATTATGAATTGTAATGTAAATATCTGATATGCAGGATGGTCTTAGGCGACCCCTGTGAAAGGGTCCTTCGACCGCCAAAGTGGTCGTGACCCACAGGTTGAGAACCGCTGCCTTACAGGGTGGCGGTCCCCACTGGGGTGCCTGGCCTGCCTGTGTTAGGGGCTGATGGCTGTTTGCAGTCTGGTCAAGCCCTCCAGTGGTGACCCTCACCCCATGGGGTGTGGCCAGTCTGGGTGAGGGGCTGAGGGCTGTTTTCAGGCTGGCCACACCACCTTCAGAGTGGGGGTCCCTACTGGGGTGACTAGCCAGCCTGGGTGAGGGGAAGATGGCCGTTTTCAGGCTGGCCACGACCCCCCCAACCACCCCACGAGCCAAGCTCCCAGCCTCTTCTTTTTTTCTTTTTTCTTTCTGGGATTTATCTTCTATAATTGAAACTTTGTAGCCTTCAGTGGAGCCCAGGGCCGTTCAGGAGGGAAGCTTGCCTGCTCGCTCCTGCTCTGTGGCCGCCCACCATCTTAGTTGGGTTAATTTGCATACTCAGTCCTGATTGGCTGGTGGGTATGGCTTGTGGGCGTGGCTTGAGCACAGCAGAGGGACAGTTAATTTGCATGTTTCTCTTTTATTATATAGGACTAGAGGCCCGGTGCACAAAAATTTGTGCACTCAGGGGGGAGGGGGCGTTCCTCAGCCCGGCCTGTGCCCTTCGCAGTCTGGGACCCCTCGGGTGATAACGACCTGCTGGCTTAGGCCTGCTCCCGAGTGGCAGAGGGCAGGCCCAATCCCTAGGTGCAGCCCCTGGTCGGGCTCAGAAGCAGGGCTGATTGGGGAGTTGGGGCGTTGCCCCGTCATGCACAGAGCAGGGCGGATTGGGAGGTTGTGATGCCACCCTCAGTCACGCTCAGGGTAGGGCCGATTGGGGGGTTAGGGCACCGCCCCCTGTCACACTCAAGGCAGGGTCGATGGGGAGGTTGCGGCGCCACCCCCTGTCACGCACAGAGCAGAGTCAATCAGGGGGTTGGGGCGCTGCCCCCTGTTACTCACAGAGCAGGGCCCATCAGGGGGGTTGGGGCTCTGTACCCTGTCATGCACAGAGCAGGGTCGATCAGGGGGTTGGGGAGCTCCCCTCTATCAGGCACAGAGCAGGGCTGATCAGGGGGTTGGGGCTCCTTCCCCTGTCATGAACAGAGCAGCCCGGATAGGGAGGTTGTGGCCCCGCCCCCTGTTATACACAGAGCCGCAGGGCAATCAGGGGGTTTGGGCGCTGCCCCCTGTCACGCTGATCCCGGTGCTGGGAGGCATATTACCCTTTTACTATATAGGATAGAGGCCTGGTGCACGGGTGGGGGCCGGCTGGTTTGCCCTGAAGGGTGTCCTGGATCAGGGTGGGGGTCCCCACTGGGGTGCCTGGCCAGCCTGGATGAGGGGATGATGGCTGTTTGCAGCTGGTCACACACCCTTCAGGGTGGGGGTCCCCACTGGGGTGCCTGGCCAGTCTGGTTGAGGGGCTGAGGGCTGTTTTCAGGCTGGCGTGTGACTGAAGCTCCCAACCGCTCCTTTTTTTCTTTTCTTTTTTTTTATTCTGGGCCAGCTTTAGCTCTGAGGCTTGGCTCCAGCTCTTAGGCCTCGCAGGCATCTGGTTTGTTTGGGCTCTATAATCGAAACACTGTTTCAACTCCAGCTCTGAGATCTCGGCTGGCTGAAAGCAGGTTTCTGGGGTTTTGTTTAGCTTCTATATTTGTAACAGTGTTTCAAACTGCAAGCTCAGAGGCCGGCAGCGGCAGGTGGGGAACGTTGGATTCCTCCGTCACTGAAGCAAGCAAGCCTCATGTTTGCTTTAAGCTGCCTGGCTGCCGGCCGCCATCTTGGCTGGCAGTTAATTTGCATATCGCCCTGATTAGTCAATGGGAAGGGTACCAGCGGTATGGCTAATTACCATGTTTCTCTTTTATTAGATTAGATGGTTGACATAATATTAGTTTCAGGTGTACAAAATAGTGATTCAACATTTATTTATATATATCTTACAAAGTGATCTCCCTGTAAGTCTAGTAATCATCTGTCACTGTGCAAAGTTCTTACAATATTGTTGACTATATTCCCTGTGTTGTACATTACATGCCAGGATCTATTTATTTATTTATTTATTTATTTTTCAGAATTTTTTTTTTTAATTAAATCTTTATTGTTCAGATTATTACATTTGTTCCTCTTTTTTTTCCCCCCATAACTCCCCTCCTCCCAGTTCCCGCCCCACCCTCCGCCCTCACTCCCCACCCACTGTCCTCATCCATAGGTGCACGATTTTTGTCCAGTCTCTTCCCGCATCTCCCACACCCCTTTCCCCCCCAGGAATAGTCAGTCCATTCTCTTTCTATGTCCCTGATTCTATTATAATCAACAGTTCATTCTGTTCATCAGATTATTTATTCACTTGATTCTTAGATTCACTTGTTGATAGATGCATATTTGTTGTTCATAATTTGTATCTTTACCTTTTTCTTCCTCTTCCTCTTCTTAAAGGATACCTTTCAGCATTTCATATAATCCTGGTTTGGTGGTGATGAACTCCTTTAGCTTTTCCTTATCTGTGAAGCTCTTTATCTGACCTTCAATTCTGAATGATAGCTTTGCTGGATAAAGTAATCTTGGTTGTAGGTTCTTGGTATTCATCACTTTGAATATTTCTTGCCACTCCCTTCTGGCCTGCAAAGTTTCTGTTGAGAAATCAGCTGACAGTCGTATGGGTATTCCCTTGTAGGTAACTGAGTTTCTTTCTCTTGCTGTTTTTAAGATTCTCTCTTTATCTTTTGCTCTTGGCATTTTAATGATGATGTGTCTTGGTGTGGTCCTCTTTGGATTCCTTTTGTTTGGGGTTCTCTGCGCTTCTTGGACCTGTAAGTCCATTTCTTTCACCAGGTGGGGGAAGTTTTCTGTCATTATTTCTTCAAATAGGTTTTCAATATCTTGCTCTCTCTCATCTTCTGGCACCCCTATAATTCTGATGTTGGTACGCTTGAAGCTGTCCCAGAGGCTCCTTACACTATGCTCGCATTTTTGGATTCTTTTTTCATTTTGCTTTTCCGGTTGGGTGTTTTTTGCTTCCTCGCATTTCAAATCATTGACTTGATTCTTGCGCTCCTCTGGTCTGCTGTTGGGAGTCTGTATAATATTCGTTATTTCAGTCCGTGTATGCTTAATTTCTAGTTGGTTCCCCAATATAAGATGGAGGGTCTTATTAGTTTTCTTGTAGATCTCATTAAGTTTATCGGCGGCTTCTAAACAGTTCTTGAGAGACCTCAAAAGTGTGGTTCTGAACTCTATATCTTCCATTGACAATTTTGTCCTGTTTCTTTGTCTCCGCATTTTGTTATGCTTCCTTGGTGCACCCCCTAGTGGTCTTTGTTCCCAGTCTTATAGTTAAATCTTAATTGTTGTAGCTAATTCCAGGGAGGGTTTGACCTCCAGGCCAAGTGGCTATGAGAGTCAGCTGTGTCAGCAGTGAGAGAACTTCTGTCCTCTAGGGAGGTGCTAATCTAGCCTTTGCCTGAGGCTATCCGGCAAATGCCTGTGTGCAGGGCTTGGGCGGGGCGGGTCGCACAGGATCAACAGGGTGGGCCGGAGAGAGCAGTTATGGCGGCTCTCAGTCCTGTCCCCAGGGGCTCTGCCTCTCTGAGTCCCAGCACCCGCTGCAAAGCTCAGAGAGAAAGCTGCACTCGCTCTGACCAAAGCCAGACAGTCCTGCTTCTCCCGCTTGAGTCTGGATCCCTAAAGACTCGCCCGTATCTGGAGCTCAGATTCTGCGACTCCCTCCCGATTGAAAACGCCAACCGCGCCCTCCGCCGCCAGCCCGCTCCGCGCACTCCGCACCTCAGAATTTGACTTCAGCACTGCGCCTCCTCTGAGTGTCTGTATGCGTTTCTCTTTCCTCCTAGTTGTAGGACTTCCACTCAGCCAGCGTTCCTGTGGTTCTGGGTGATGTCCCTTCCGTTTTTTGGTTTCACTTTTGAAGTAGTTGTTCAAAGCAGCAAACTCCGGCGTTAACCTATGCCGCCATCTTGGTTCTCCCCAATTTATTTTATACTGGAGGTTGGTGCCTCTTAGTCCCCTTTACCTTTTTTGCCCATCCTTCCATCCCTCTCCCCTCTGGCAACCATCAGTTTATTCTTTATATTTGTGAGTCTGTTTCATTTTGTTTGTTTTGTTTTTTAGAGTCCACATATAAGTGAAATCATACAGTTTTTGTCTCCTGACTTATTCCATTCAGCATAAAATGTGCATATTTTAAAGTGTACAGGTAGTTCATAAGTGTGATGATTGGGTATTCACACTCTTTTGTGAGATGTGCCTCCCTCAAACCTTGTTACATCAGCACATTACCCGTGTGACGTGGAAAAATGTATACTTTGCTAATTTTGACATACACCCCTGAAACCATTACCAAATTCAATATTTAAAACCATATATATTACCCTAAAGTTTCCTCCTTCCCCTTTTTAACTTTTTTTTATCACAGTAGTAATGTTTTTGTTTAGCTATGATGATGTATGTATGGAATCTGTCATGGCCTGAGATATGAATTGATTTTCTATTTTCTAATGTGTTTTTGCAAATGAATCAAATTTTTATTGTGGTTAAATGCATATAACATAAAATAGATTATAAATAAACAGACTGCATAGATTATTTTGTATGAATATCATGTATATTTAATCTATTCTCTAATGTTGGGAATTTTATTTCCTGTTTTTCTTTATTACAAATCTCACTAGGATGAATTTTCTTATGTTTCTTTGACACTTTTTGACATCAGCTACTCTTCTGCTTCATTCCAGATTATGAAAAGGGGGGTATTTTAAAAGTTGAAGACTTTGAAAGAAAAGCAAAGGAAGGTAAGTGTCAGTGGCAGCCCTTAACAGTGAGTCTGAGAGGCTCTGCAAAGTCCAGGGACCTTAACTTGTCCCGACGTTCCACAGCCAGCAGGAAGCCTCTCAGAGGCTGGTTTTCTGTCCTTGCCAGGAACTTAAAGCATAAGTGGCATAGAAAAATGTGAGAATAGAAGAGGCTTTAGGAAGATGGTGAAAACCTGCTCTTCTACATTTCTGGTGTGTGCTTTTTAGTTGAAATAGTGTTATTAATGCTAATGAAACATCAAACACCAAAATATATGGGAAATAGCCACAGAGGTTTCCTGGAAAGAGTCCATTGAAAACATAAATAATCTTATCCAGTGTCCTCAAAGTAATGCTAACTGGTATTTCCCTGTCCTCAGGGCTTCAGCATTAATAATATATAAGGAATGTGGTTGAATTAAGCCCAAAGAATAGACATAGAAATTTAGCAAATAAACAAGGGCCCATGTAAATTTGAGTAGATAAGATATCACATCAGAAATCTGCACGTTCGTAAGAAGCTGCAGTCTTGTAGAGGCTGTCAGTGCACAGTTCTAGCCTCTAAGACTCCAGGGCATCAGCCAAATGGAGAATCCTGCTTTGCTTATTCCAAGTCTATATTTAGAGAAAATTACACACCGCTCAGTTGGCTGCAAACTTGAATTCTACTCTTTACTCTCTCTCCCCTTCAGTGTGTGACAACTTGGAAAATTTCACCTCAGGCAGTCCTTTCCTGTGCATGGATCTCAGCTACATCACAGCCTTGTTGAAGGATGGCTTTGGCTTTGCAGACAGCACCGTCTTACAGGCAAGAGAGAGGGCAGAGGAATCTCATAACAGACTTCTTATTTGGGAGTTGGGAAGAAAGAGTTAAGAGTGACTATAGGTGGAATTATGAGGATTTTTATTCGGGCTATGGACAAGCACTGTGCAAGACACTATGAGTGTGGGAAATTACCTCGATGCAAAGGCAGTTTCTAAATATGTTACCAGGAAAGCTATCCTAGAGGTCACAGAGCAGAAGGCTTGCATCCAAATGAAGATGCCCAGGCCCCATGGTTTATTAAATCAATTTTGAAACTCAGGACAAGAAGCAACAGGAAAGAAATGGGACAGGTGAACACAGTGTAGGGTGCAAGCAGGTTGGAAGTGCCACACTTCCTGAATTCTGGGTATGTATGTCCTACCTCCCTCTGCTGCTGCTGACAGTGTGGTTGGTTGCAAGTACTAGACCTGAAGTTTAATCAAGGGGGCACAAGGACAGAGGTGCCTGGAGCCATTGCACAAATTTCCACTGTTTGGAGAGGCATAGGGGCAAGTACATTATCTGGTAATATTAGCGTACTCAGCCCAATAAATGGTCTTATTTGGCAGAGGACATGAGGGACCAAAAGGGTGTCACAAACAAGTGGCTTAAGACCTCATGAATGTTGAATGCCTGTGTGTATGTAGTATGTCATATATATTTGATATGTGTCTTGTATATTTAGTGCCTCTTGAATCTTGGGTCCCCCTTTATCTTCCTGTCTCTGTCCACCTGTTCCAGAATAGGCAGGCTCAACATTGTAGTAACTTATTTATTTATTCTAAACACATCTTATATCTTTTATCCATCCCATTTTCTGGTCTTCAGTACAATAATTAAATAATTGCACATATGTTTATGTCAATGAAAGAATGTCCAGCGTTAGAAAAAGCCTTATAAGAGTTTATTTGAGCCAAACTGACAACCATTGCTGGGAAGCAAAATCTCAGTGGATTGGGAAAATGCTCCAGAGAATGGCAGTTTGCAGTTTATTTTATACATTAGAATCAAAGGAGATATAAGGGGGTTACATGAAATCCTTTTGGTGGTAGATTAGGGAGGTGGGAGAAAGCAAAGTGGAGAAATCTCTGAGATTAGATAAAAAGTAAAACACAGAGATGCATCTTATACATCGGTGGGTACAGGATAGTAAATATTTACGGGACACCGAATGGCACGTGGGCAACAATACAACAGTGTGGTCTCGTGCTCTGGTGCGGGTGGTTGTGCCTTCGAGGGGTCTGGAAAAGAAAATTACCCTGACATTTCAAAGGTATGTTATCTTAGATGCACAAAGAAAATAGACAATTTCAAAGGTAAAGGTTGACCTTTCTCAAGGAAGCTACAGGCCTAGGACATGACTACCCACCCTGACCCACTTTTCGTTAGGATTTTTTATGTTCAGACCACCTTGAGCTTGTCAGGTTTACTATGTGACCCTTTTTCATCCACAGTTACAAGGATGGGTAAGATGTAGTCTTTGTCCTCAGATATCATGTAGTCTATTAAAGGAGATGGCACAAGGCAGCTTTGAACTTTGGGGTCTAGTACGTAGACTGTATTCTTTTTGAGCCTCCTCCCCCCTCCTTGTGCCATTTCCCCTTCCTGTTTCATCAGTTCCGGATGAGTTTATATTATCCAATTTGTTGGGTTATACAGATGTCATAAACTCATTCGTACTAAGGTACTTGAACTTCATGTGTTTTGCCTGCCAAGAGCTTCAGCATTTAAAGTGCTTAAGACAGAAGAGTTACCTGCCAGTACATTAGTATAGTGGTGTTTAAAGCATGGGCTTTGTTGTCCGTCATATCTGGATTCAAGTTCTGATTCTGCAAGCTTGCTGGCTCTGTGACCTTAGATGATTTACTTCCTCTCTAATTTTTAGGTTCTTCACCCAAAGCACAGGTATCCTTTGAGTTCCTATTTTATAAGATTGTTATGAAAATTGAGATAATGCCTGTGAAACACATTACCTGGCACATAGTGTAAGTTATTAGTATTGGTGTCGCTAGTAGTATAGACAGTTGGGGAGAGATTTGTGGATTAGAGAGGTCATCCTAAGCCCTTAGTACATAGTACTGAGTTAACAACTTTCTCTACTTAAGTAACAACTATAACCAAATCATGTAAGGACAAGTTTCTGCCATTTCCCCAGTCCTCAGAACAGAGGAGAGCATTTGACTGGGGGACACTCCCAGTTTGACTCAGGTATCTCAGACAAAACCTCAAGATGATCCACATGCCATTCTCCCAGTGTTTGGCACAGTGACTAGATTGGATTTCCTCAGGTCAACAAAGTATTGTGTCATAAAACTGAGTACTAGAAAGACAGACTAAAACCAATCCACTGGTTTCCAAACTTGTGTGCATGTGTGTGGTGGTCTTTACTCAACAAAAGCTTATGCAGAATGCCAGTAACACTGGTATGTGGAGTATCTGACTGAAGCAGAGGTACAGGGCCTGGGACTCCTCACCAGGTGGCCCCCCTTTCTCTTTGAAGCACTTCCAAGGAACCCTCAGGATTCTGAAGAAAACAATTTGATAAATACTAACTGAATCCCTTTTATGTAGTTGAGAAATTGGGGTCTAACATGGGGTCATGAACTAATTGAGGCTCAACCTGGCCTAGAATGCCTTAAAAACCTTAGATGGTTAATAGTGCTTAAGAAGCAGCAGTTACTTACAAAGTATGAGTGGGGAAGCTTTAGTATGTGCGTTCATACCTCTAACTCTATTCCCAACTCCTGTTATATCTAATTTCAGGATTAGGGAAAGAGTTCCAAAGGTCCTGTCGAAAGCCTGGGTGAGACCACTTTCTGGGCCAGAATATTCAGGGATCAGCTTGGCAAGGGGCCAGTAATAGGCCACGGCAGGAAGGAAACTTGCAGAAACGGGTTGTGGGGAGGCCTCCAGACTGGCTACGTCCAATTTGCCTTGGTTTGGCCATGTGGGTGATCTTTGCCCATGTCGTGCTTGCTAAAATTGAATGAAAATGTGAAGGCTTTTTTTTCTCCTCCCCAACAGCTCACAAAGAAAGTGAACAACATAGAGACAGGCTGGGCCTTGGGGGCCACCTTTCACTTGCTGCAGTCTCTGGGCATCTCCCACTGAGGCCACACCCTTCCTCTGAGGCCCGCATTTGCCAACAACCTTTTAACGGGAGAAGGAGACAAGACTCAGTCATGTTATGAGGCGGTCTGGAAACCACCTGGATTGAAACCCAGCAGCTGGCTTCATCAGGAGGAAGAGGTTTTTGTAGACAGCTCTTGCCCTTAAGTCTAGAGATTTGGGTTTAATTAATTTTACACATCTAATAGGAACTGGTACCTAACCATTCTGCTTGCACAGCTGGTACTAGAGTCTAAATTTTTGAGCATGCTTGTGTGTCACAGAGAGCCAAAAGGAATAGCTTTGGAACTTAACCAAAGAAAAATCTCATATCAACCCTTTGAGTGCCTCTTTCCTTTTGAACATTTTAAGTTTCCTCTTACATGCTAATCTTAGCTGACTGATTGCAATCCCATAGCCTGTCAACACCAGTATATTTTTCCTCCCTGCACATTGCCTTGTCCCACCCTTATCACACCCATCCACTCACTTGCCCAAAAGAGAGAGGAAAAAATACCTGGTTTTGTAATTCAAGAGGAAAGAAAGGTACCATCTCTGCAGTTGTGTGGTCCTGCTTTGTGCCAGCTCCAATCAGCCAGCTGAGAGCTGTCCTCTTAGCAGGAGAGCAACTCCTACCTGTACAGCCTTAAGAAAAGAGGCCCTCCAGTCTCTAAGGACATGTTTTGGGAGAGCGTGGCTGCCCTGTATAGGCCACCTTCTTTTAATCAACTTTTTATGTCAACCGTGAGGTGAATGAGCATGTCCGACCTTCTAGGAATGTGTTTATTCAGTGCCAGTGCCTCCTTCCAGGCTCTGTTTATAGTAATTTGTCATCCTGATCTTATTTCTTTGTATTTCGGAGAAGTGCATCTCTGCCCTTCTATTGGAGGATCCAGATTTTGGCCGTAGCTCCTTTCAGTTTGCCCTTTTATTGTTTATAGCAACATTTCCTCCTACCTGGCCCCTCATCATTTTAGCTACCGTCTCCTAAATTGTCTAGTTCCAGGGTCTCTGATACCCTTCTCGATGATAAGCTAACATTTTATTTTGCTGGCCATTTGGGCCCTCACACTGTGGATTCTCTTTTTGGGTTGGAATGCTCTGAGCCCTTCATTTTGTGAATTACTTCCCCTAAAATTCATTATCTCGTACTTTCCCATAGGCCCATCACCTGCTTCTTGTCTGCCCGCTCAGCGCCCTTGGGCTTGAAGGATCTTCCTGTTGGCTGGCTCTTTGACCTTGGCTCTTTACCCCCAGCTTCTTTCCAGCAGTTTGTATCTTCCACACTTGTAGCCATCACAGAAGCTTTCTTCTGGCTGTCTCACCAAAAATGTTATTAAACACCTGGCCCTCACAAGAGCTCCTTTTTTAAAGTTATTCCACTGAGTCAGTAAGTGGTTAACATCTGATGTGCAAGTAGCTAGCCAAATTTTATCTTTATCTCCCACATTTTAGTGTGTTGTTTGGTTTCTTTATTTCATTGTGGAATTTTTTCAGATTCTTCATACTGACTTTATTTTCTTTTTTCACACTGACTTTTATACCAAGGTCACCTTGATACCTATTGTCTTCCTCAAAAGAATGCTAATACGTCATACAATCTTTAGAGTTGGAAACAGCCCAAAGATAGAATCCAGCCTTCTAACTGTTGCAGAATCCCCTTAACATTTCTAAGTAGCTGTACTTAGCTTCTGGTTAGCATGTCTGGAGACAGCTCATTGCATTTGGGACAGCACTGATGTTAAACATCCCTTAATGTGGCGCTGCAGTCTCTCCTCTCAGTGGTCTTCTCTAATCGCTCCTTTCACAGCCTTTCCATCTCCTGAAGAAAATTCCTCCCGAGTCCTTTGTGGTCTCTCCTTTAATAGAACACTTGGCTTCTGGACCCCTTACCATTTTTGTCACACAGGTTGAGTGCTAGAACCAGTCATACACTAAATGTTGTTCCACATGATTAGGGAGAGACCAGTTTCTCTAGTAGAAACCAAGTGTTTTCCCCAAGAGGTAAGCTGTGTTCACTAAAGACTCCACCAGTTTGACGGTTGAGAGAGGCAAGATTCCCTGGTCTTTGTCATAGCTTGTCTGTGAAGATTTTCTTATGGACAGAGGCTGTTCAGACTCCTTTGGTCATCCCAAGTACCTCTAGAACTCTTGGATAGATGCATTAACTCCAGAAATGTGTTTACCTAAATTTTGATAATCTTGACTAGAACATCTGGAGAGAATTAACCAGTTTATCCATGTTAGGAGCAATATGGAATAAGAATTTTTATTTCTTAGAAAAAATGACTTGTCTATAATGTCCTTTTGCCCCTTAGTGTACCTTTTGGGCCTCTTATTGAGGAATCCTATAGTGGCTAATATTGCTGGTTAAGTTTCTTTTCTATAAATGTGTTTATATATTTCAAATACTTAGGACCTGGCCTGGCACATAGTAGATGTTGTGTGTTCACCATCATCATATGAAGAACATCCTCTGTGGTAACGGAGGGCCTTGTAAGATGTGCCTTAAAATTCTTCCTATTTTGCCTGATTTTATTTGCATACTTTTGGAGAGTCCATGTTCTTCTTTCCTGGGCTACCTTTCCAATTTTTGTGAAAGATGACCTCCCCCCCCCATTCAGTGGTGACCTTTCTGGACTCTGCTAGTAGTCATACAACTTTCACAGTAGTTGCCATCTTTCATTCTGGGCACATCTTTCCAGAGATTCCAGGAACATTTGTGACACTATCACTTTTTACTCTAGTATCTTATAAATTTTCTGCATTTGCCTGAAAAGCTCCCCTGTAGAAACATCTTTCTCATTCCTTCAGTAACTAAGCTAAACTAAACAGAATAGTTTAGCTTGGTTCAAAAGCAGACTGTTTCTTCTCATTTCATCAACAAATCAGACTTTTGGACAAAATTTTCTCTACAGTATACAAATCTAATGGGTCCCCAGATCTCTTCAAGAGGCATCTCTGGTTCTGCGAAGTGAGCTCTTCAAACACCCACAGCACCCCTACACCCATCAGCCACCAGGTCGCAACCAAATATGACAAATTCTGCTGCTAATCAGATTTTCCCTTTGACCTGGCTCCTGAAGTTCTCACACCTGTGCAATGAAACTATTTATTGTTTTGTCACTGAACAGACAGTGGTGTCCCAGAGAGGAACCATAAATAAAAGCGAAATCCGGTGCTGTGATAAGGAAGTAACAATGAGCAACAGATTTGGTTTTCTTTTTAGAAAGTCCAGTGCACCTACAACAAAGGTTAAAGCAATTTATTTTTAATTTTAAAACAGTAATTCTAACAAAAATTCATCAATTGAATATTTCTAATTCTTCTTTATCAAAAGATAATTGTATAGATTTATGACCAGCATTTAAAAAAAAACTATAGATCTTCTCTTTAGAAAGGATTGTTAACAAGTGAAAATGAATGAGATAGCACCTTAAGTTGTTTGAGTAATAAAAAGTTATTTTCAACAAAAATCATAATAGTCTTTCTTTGGGGTTTTTCTTGGCTTGGTTTATATACCCCTCCCCACAGCAAATTATCACTCATTATTTGGGTTCCACAGACCCCTTAAATAAAGGAGAAAAAGAAACTAGAGAATGCTAATATAAAGTCAGTTTATTAAATTAAATCTTGAAACTGTATGATGGCCTTGGGAAAAGATGTTTCTTTTTCTTCAATATAATCTGCAGAAGAGGAGCATTCATTTGCTTGCAAAGGCCATAATCTGTTCCTAAAGAGAAATGAAACAAAGTGAGTGATACCCTGACATTGTGAGAGGGCGGGTGAAGAAAATACTTTGAAGTATCCAAAGTGATTAAAGCAAAAACTCAGCAAAAGTCCCAGATAGATGCTCTTCACAAGAGTCCCTCCAAAGTGCCTTTCAATGGATGTTTCTCAGTAGAAAAAGCTGACCAAGCAGCAAAAGGAGTTGAAGCATCTTTATCTTTGAAAGCCCCTACTTGCTATTTTAAGCCCTTCCTTATCCTGTATAAAATTACTGCTTAGATAGGCCCTAGCACCAACAAGCCCAGCAAGGTCTTTTTTGCTCATTATTGGAGAAGATAAGAAGGATAATTTTACAGCCAAGAAAATTAATTCAAATTTAAGTCATTGGCAAAGTCATTCCTCGGTGACCAAGACTCTGAGAGCCATGAGCGACCTCTTACTTTGAGTGGAGATACTGCATTTGTGGCCTGCAAGCCCCACGTCCTGAGCAGCACAAGAGGGGTAGCACTGGTGGAATAGAGCCTTTTCAGCAGGTCAGTAGCAGCCAGAAGAGCAGTGTTGTGACGTTGTCGGTCTGTCTCATAACCTGTGAGGTGGCTCATGGAGCCTGGAGGAAAAAAGGAAAGTTACACCCTAACCCCATAGTGAAGTTTTCTTTCCAAGAAAAGCACACACACTTATGTCCACCACATCTGGCTACTGAGGGGCATTCAGGGGTCCTGATTTTCTCTAACTACATGACCCCTGGATACTTCTTTAAGGTACCGGAATCCTTACCCAAGTCTTTCCCATCGAAGGCTGCAGTTCTAAGGTGATGGACCAAGCTGGAGATATCCCCAAAGCCCATGTTGACACCTTGTCCTGCCAGTGGATGGACTCTGTGGGCTGCATCCCTGAGAATGAAGCAGCGTTTAGGTGTGGCCTCCAGCAGCAGAGTGAGAAGGGAATAGCTGCTCTGCCATCATCTTACCCGATGAGCGCCAGCCGAGGCCGGACGTACTCAGCAGCATGTCCCAACCCAAGAGGAAACAGTACGCGGCTTTTGGCGTCCACCTTGGCTACGCTTGGCGGCAGCTGGCGAGCTGAGACCTTAGTGGGCTTCAGAAAGGCAACGGCGTAGTGCAGCATGGTGCTGGCCGAGTCAACGAAGTCTGTGTGGTTAGCGTCACTCCACTGAGTAGCATCGGCCACAAAACAAAAGTGAAATTTCATCAGTGACTAGCAGGGAATTAAAATTAAACAAGGAAACTCTTTTTATAACCAAAGCCAAGGGCAATGGTACCTAACATGCCTAAAACAACCTAGACCCCCCAAGTGACAAGTCCCTCCAATAAAGGCAAAACACAGATTCCAGGTTGTAGGATCAAGCCAAATTGCTAAGTCCCAACCTCAATCACCTGCACCAGCCACAATGTAGCTCATCCTCTTGCCTCTGACACGCCCCTCTGCTTAGAATGCCCTCCCACTTAGACTTCACCAGGATCTCACCTCAGAGCACCTGAGGCTGTCAGCTTTTTATAAACCTTCCAAACTCGCCTGTGTGTGCTCACCTCTTTGTTCCCATAGCATCCTATGCATATTCTACCACTGTTCTGAAATTGTCATTTATGTACCTTTCTCCTCACTTGACTATGAGCTGCCCTAAAAGCAGGGACTGTGTCTATCACCAGACCGTTCTATGTAGAAGGCACTTGTAATTATCTATATAATAAAAGCCTAAGTGGAATGACCAGAACGACCGGTCACTATCATGTGCACTGACCACCAGGGGGCAGATGCTCAACGCAGGAGCTGCCCCCTGGTGGTCAGTGCGCTTCCACACGGGGAGCGCTGCTCAGCCAGAAGCCGGGCTCACAGCTGGCGAGCGAGGTAAGGAGCAGCGAGCAGGTGGGCAATAAGGAGTGAGGGGTTCTGGACTGCAAGAGGGTGCAGGCCGGGCTGAGGGACCCTCCCCCTCCCTAACCCCCCCCCCAAGTGCATGAATTTTGTGCACCAGGCCTCTAGTTGCTAAATGAATGTCCTACAGAGGCCTGTGCCAGGAATACTAGTATATGCTAAATGGCCCAGGGTGGGTAGCAGTTATCTTGGAAGCCACTTCAGTATGTTTAGTTCCTTTTACTGTTACTACCATACAGCAGTGAAACTTAAGTTCTTTGGTGTGAATTATTAGTGAAGTAGTGGATTTGGTAGTTAAAACCATAGACTTGAGGGAGAGCCTCATTTCAGAACCCAGCTTTGCACAAGAGATAGGATCTTGGGCAAGTTACCTATCTCTAAATGAGCATGTTAACAGTACCTACCTCAGAGAGTCACTGATTTAAATACATACATGCAGGTAAAACTCTTCCCCTGTACCTGGCACATAGTAAGCACTCGATAAATGTTACCAATTATCATATTAGTGAATTTAGATAAATGTAGCATTTGAACTTCAGAAATAATGTGCCATATTATCTAAAAGCCATATTACTCCAGAATCATTACTATTTGAGCACCTATAATGTATGAGGTATGCTGCAAGCATTTTACATAAAGTCTCTCATCTTAAGTCTTTAGACTTTTATTATTATTAACCTCTCAAAGGTTGGTGATAGTATTTCCATTTTTCAGGAGATTTACAGTTAGTACCAGTATTGAACCTATGTCTGTCTAAAGCAAGGGTGGGGAACCCTTTTTCTGCCAGGGGCCATTTGGATATTTACAACGTCATTTAAGGACCATACAAAATTATCAACTTAGAAATTAGCCTGCTGTTTGGTCAAACATTAACTAACTCACCCCTAATGCCTTGGCAGGGCCAGACCAAATGATTTTGCGGGCCTTACGTGGCCCATGGGCCGGACAATCCCCACCTCTGGTCTAAGACCCCCACTGAAATGTGATTAACCCCTCTCCAAAACATCCTGATGAATTAGGCTTCAAAGGTTCAGGTACCTGGGACCCAGTAGAGCTGCTCAAGATTACCTAAGAATTACAGCTTCAAAAGAGGCCAGTGCTAACTTCCACCCAGGCAGCTGTTGAATCAGCATAACAGCAGCCCATGACCCTCAAAAGAGCACACAAGTTACTGATTCCTATTGTTTGGATTCCCCTGAATGCCCTCCTCCACGTCATCCAGACCAAGCCTTTCAGTTATAAAAGGGCAGCTGGTTGGTTACTTCTTTTTCCTACTCAAACTGCCTTTCTGTATATACCCCTGCAACGCCTCATCAGGCAGACAAGTTGATACTCACAAAGGCGGAGTTAATGGCATCCACAAAGTTCTCCTCGTCCATGCTGACCAGCTCTGCTGCATGCTCATGGGATGTGGACCAGACCAAGGAACTCAAGGTGTCTGAGAGCTGTCTCAAAAGAACACCATCAGTACTGAGAGCTGAAACTTCTGTTCTTGGGCACTATCATGCATAAAGGCATGAAGGAGAAACGGAGCTAGCCGGGAGATACTTCACTTGGAACCTGAAAATGGCTGAGAGAAAATGAAGTCCTAAAAGGGAGGCTGGATGTGTTTAAGCAGACTAGCCAGACAGACGTCTTACCGGGAGCAGAGCGATGGGCCCTGAGGGAAGAAATCTCTGCCAAGCTACATTGTTTTCTGTGACCTGCAATAGAAAGGAGACCGGTTGTAGAAGCACACATATCAAACACCAGCAGGGCCCCCAGATGGTGGGCTCAGGGTCTTATTTTTTTTTTAAATCCTCACCTGGGGATATGTTTATTGATTTTAGAGGGAGAAGAAGGGAGAGAGAAAGGGACAGGAAAACATCCATGTGAGAAAGAAACATCCATCGGTTGCCTCTTATATGTGCCCCAACTAGGGATCAAACCCGCAACCTAGAATTTATATCCAGAATACATAAAGAACTCTGGCCTGGCCGATAAAGCTCAGGGGTTGAGAGTCAACCTATGAACCCCTATGATTCCCCTGACTGGAATTGAACCTGCCCTCTTTCGGTATACAGGACAATGTCCCAACCAACTGAACCATACTGGCCAGGGCTGGGCTCAGGCTCTTACCTCCGATAAATGCAGAGTAGCCACAACAGCAGACTGGTCGTAGTCCCAGCTGACATTCTGGATTCCAGCAGCTTGCCGTACTCCTGAGTTGTGACCATCTGCACCAATCTGCACAGAGACAAGAGCCAGCTAAGTCTTATAATCTTTGAGTAAATGAAACTGCTCCAGAAGTTTGTCTCTGCCTCCTAAAGATTTCTCTAGTTCTAACTGCTGGCAAGCCCATCTATGGCAGACAACTTTTTATCATGCCTGCCTCACTCACAGCTCTAAAGGGGTGGCTCTACATATGTGACCCCGGCCTCAGCTGGGGTCAGACCAAAGCTGGACATCTGACCCACAAGGTGCCAGCCACAGGTTAAACGCAGCCAAATTCCCTTGCTATTTAGACTAGAAAGCAACAGGCAGGCACCAGAGCTGAACAGTCCTGATGTAAGGTGAGGGAGGGCTGCCATGGAAAAGGGAAAGCTGATGAGCAGAGAGAGGAAAAATATAAGACACAAGGAGATGACTTACAGGACTCCTGGGAGGGAAAGAACAGCCTCAATTTCTGATACTCTGGTTCCTGTCTCTGTGAGGCCAGCTGTCCTTATTTCATGACCTAAGATGGTCCAGGAGATTTGGTCCTGTACAGGATTTACAACAAGACCATCTTAACTGGAGCTGGCTTACTGGGTACTGGTCTTTATAACCAAAAGCTTAGCCTAAAATGAACATCAACTGTAAGCTTAGATGGAAAACTAGAGGCCCTAGAATTGAGGCTACCATGTGGCTATGCAAGACCCCTGGCGAAACAAGAATCTTTAACTACCAACAATTTGGTCTGGAGGGTGCTGCCATCACCTAGGGTAACATGAACCCACGGGCTGGAGTCTGCCATGGAAATGGGAGAAGGCCAGGTAAAGCCGACTGCTTTGCTCCGGTAGAGAACAGTCACTCGGTCTAGGGAGGTCAGAAGAGAAAACACAAAACATTAGGAAGACGGCCCACACAGGCTTGAAGAAAAGCCATAACTAAACCTAAAGCAGGTCCCAGGACAGCTGTCTCTTGTCCTTTACTCCTAAACAAGAAAAGATCTAAAAAATCCTCATGTGACGGGTGCTACCGTCTGAGAGCTGATAAACAACAAAACCACAGGGATGAGTCAGTGTGAAAAATCCATCTCTCAGTGAATGGTCAGCCGACAGCAGGCACTCTTCCCCCCTGCTCTTCCAGTTCACTCTACGCTTAAATGGGCCCATGTGTGCTTTCAGAGTAAACAGCATGGAAATACCACGGGCTCAAACTTCTAGATTTCAGAACATTTTTCTTCCCCCTGGAAATCATTTTACTTCTCTGACCATAAAAATGATATGCTCACTGTAAAAGTCTGAACAAAAGAAAAGTTTAAAAGGGGGGTGGGGGGAACCACCCTCAGTCATGCCCTGAGACAACTACAGTTAAGGCTTTGCCATAGAGCTTACCAAACAATTTCCATACATGTTTATGTGGCGTGCACACCCTCACACACACAAGTGGGATCATGTGACATGTAATATTTTTCACCAATAGACTGTGGGACACGTTTCTAAGTTACTAAATATTAGGTCTAAATTATCTTTAAAAGATACACAGAAGCTCATTACATGGGTGAACTACTACCCATACCAAAAGCATTTCAGGTTGCTTCCAATTTTTTCTCTTTAGAATAACCCTGAAATACTTGCAAATCATATATTGAATAAGGAATTTATATCCAGAATACATAAAGAACTCTGGCCTGGCCGATATAGCTCAGGGGTTGAGGGTCGACCTATGAACCAAGAGGTCACGGTGCGATTCCTGATCAGGGCACATACCAGGGTTGCGGGCTCAATCCCCAGTTGGGAGGATACAGGAGGCAGCCGATCAATGATTCTCTCTCATCACTGATGTTTTTAGCTCTCTCTTCCTCTCTGAAATCAATTTTTTTTAAATTAAAAAAGAACTTCTATAACTCACAAAAAGACAAATAATCCAGTTTTTAAATGGGCAAAGGATTCTGAATACACCTTTCTCCAAAGACAAACAAATGACCAAAAAGCACATGAAAAGATACTCAACATTATTAGTCATCAGGGAAATACGATCCAAACTATAATGAGATACTATTCCAGTCACTGGGATAGCTATTTAAAAAAAAAAAGGAAGGGGGGGGGGGTAGGAGCCCTGGCCGAGTAGCTCAGTTGGTTAGAGCATCCTCCCAATATGCCAAGTTTATGAGTTTGATCCCTGGTCAGGGCACATACAAGGGAATACAACTGGCAATAAAAAAGAATAAAGTACTGACATGTTACAACATGAATACATCTTAAAAATACATTCCATAGGAGAAGTCAGACACCAAAGAATACATGTTTTATGAGTCTAACTCTATGAAATGTCCAGAACAGGCAAATCCCAAAAGACAGAAAGTAGAGTAGTGGTGCCAGGGGCTGGGGGTTGGATTGGGGAATATTATGAATGAGCTCCAGGTTTCCTCTGAGGTAATGGAAATATTCTAAAGTCATGTGATGATGGTGGCATAACTCTATAAATAAGAAAATCATTGAATTGTACACTTAAAATGGGTAAATTTTCTGGTGTGTAAATTATACCTGGGTAAAGCTGTAAAAGAAAAACCCTAAGTATCAGAATGTTTGTTTATGGTGCACATTCAGTATTTGTAAAAGGGATCCTTTCTTCCAGTGAGCCCAGAGTAATTCTAAAGAGTTCACCTTCCAGAGAATGAAAGGGAGATGGAGAGGTGGGGCCTCACCTGACACGGCCTCCAGCTGCTTCGTGAGGGCATGCATGATGACGTCGTTCTCCACTATATAGCCCATGTCATCCAGGTTATCCTTGTCGAACATGATCAGGGCCTCTGAGCAGGCGTCCCACACCTGGCAACACAAAGGGAGCGTCTGTATGACAACCCAAGGAAAAGGACACATCACTGCTTTCCCAAGTGACAGAGCAGAATGATCACAAACTGACAATCCCTCTGGCAGGACATAAGGTGAGAAGAAAATTCTCTTGGGAATGCTTTGCCCCACTTTCTTAGACGGAGTGTGGACACTGATTCTTGCCAAGTTCTCAGAAAACCTGGAGAATGTGGACTCTAATATCTTAACACAAGAGACCAAGGTATCTTGCCAAGAGTGATAAAGGAAGCACCTGCATTCGCCGAAAGGCTCTGTATCTCATGTTGCAGATGTGGTCCCAGGCACCGAAACCTACAAAAGAAAGGATCTATGTAGAGAGCAGAGCATCCTTCCTGGGCTCCCCTGTGTCCCTCCGTCCTGTTGTTAGAAGTTGTTCTCAGTGTTCTCCATAATAGAGAAATACTCTCCCCTTCTGTCCTGTTTGATGGCAGGAGCTACGCTACTCTGTTCCTCAGTTCAGATTACACAGTATGAACAAGACCCAGCTTTCATGATCAACAGGTCAAATCACATTGTAAAGTAGGGGAAATGAATAAGGAAATCTAAGCCATACTGTTCTTTTTTCTTTGCCATCCTATTGAAGTTATAAACTCTCTGAATAAAGACTACCTTTTGTTATCCCCATGGCACTGAAGAGATTCACTCATTGAGGAAATATTTACAGAGCACCTAAAATGTGACAAATACATTTCTAGGTACTGAGCAAAAAGTGGAAACCAAATGGACAAAGTCCCCACCTTTCTGCAGCTAACATTCTAATGTATTATTTGTAGTAAAAAACAAATACGTAATATAATGTCAGGTGGTAGTATTATGAAGAAAAATAAAGCAGTATAAGGGGCTAGAGCAGGGGTGGGCAAACTTGTTGACTCGAGGGCCACAATGGGTTCTTAAACTGGACCGGAGGGCCGGAACAAAAGCATGGATAGAGTGTTTGTGTGAACTAATATAAATTCAAAGTAAACATCATTACATAAAACGGTACGGTCTTTTTTTTTTTAGTTTTATTCATTTCAAACGGGCCGAATCCGGCCCGCGGGCCGTAGTTTGCCCACGGTTGGGCTACAGAGTAATACGAGAGTCTATTTTAGATAAGGTGGTTCCAGACAGGATAGTCTGAGTGATTAACATTTGGCAGAGACCTAAAGACAATTTGCTGACAGCTGCTCCTGTTTGCACATATCCATCTTCACCCCAAAAGCATTTATTACACAGGCTCCCTAGCTTCCTACAGGGCGGACTCTGGGAATGAAGAGGGTGGGGCTACTGGAAGTGAATGCTCATAATTAGTTCATATAGTTTTAGTTCCACTCATTTATAAGGACCCCACATCACAAATGAAGTCTATGTGATGGACCCACATGTCCCAAGGATGTCTTCCTCAGACTGGGAATTGGCACATTAACGATTTCAGAGGTCCGCATCTTCAACTACCTGCCAGACTCCAACCACACCTCTCTCTCCCACCCGCCTCAGCGAGCTCCCTCCGCCCAGATGCTCGGGGAGCCGAGAGAGACAGGAGATTGGTTCTATGAGGGAGGATGTTCTACTCACTGCTGAGAAGGGTTGCAGAGCCAGGGGAAATGGAGCTGACCCTGTTACTGTAAGTTTCTGGCAATTTCTCCAATACTTTCTTTGGACCTGCTTCTAGCAACAGGATTTTCTTATCATGAAAGTGAATATCATATCCTAAAACAAACAAACAAACAAAAACACACACACAAAAGAACAGGCAAAATTTTATATCATTTTAGGAAAATCAGAATTTATTTTTTCATTGCCAAGAGAAGCAACAATTAATTCCTGAACCCTTAGGTACAAATTTCTTACAAAGCACACAAAAAGGAAACGCTATGCGGAGTCCTAAACAATAACATATACCACCATTTCAGCCATGCGAGCCACCCTGCCAACTGCCGTAAGGTAGTATTTAGACACCAGATATTTCTAATCCTCAAAGAATAACATCACCGACAATTACAAATCCTGTTCAACAGAAAAATGTAGTTAATAAGCAAAATTCACTGTGGCGTCAAGATTAACTCAAGGATAAAGAATTAGTCTGTAAAAGGGGGTCAAAAATACATCAGTTGTGCCTGCAAATCTGATCCTAAAACATTGCAGAGGAAGTAAAAAGGGAACTTGGGCCCAGCTGGCGTGGCTCAGTGGTCGAGCATCGACCTATGAACCAGGAGGTTAGGGTTTGATTGCCGGTTAGGGCACATGCCCAGGTTGCAGGCTCCATCCACAATGTGGGGTGTACAGGAGGCAACCAATCAATGATTCTCTCTCATCATTGATGTTTCTACCTCTCTCTCCCTCTCCCTTCCTCTCTGAAATCAATAAAAAATTATTTAAAATAAAAAGGGGGGCGGGGGACTTGGGGATTCCATCACTGGGTGTCTGTAGCACATTACAGTCAGTCCCTCCAGTGTCTCAGAAAAAGACACAGGGCAAAAACATGCAGTGAGCTGCTGCTGCCAATAAAGGAGAAAAATATGTGATAGAATTGCCCGACCACCTCCCCCTACCCCGTTCCTCTAGGAGAGCTTCATCTCATTCCTCCTTTGATCAGTTATTTACAAATCTTTCTCCTTTGCTAGATTCTAAACTCCTAGGGGACAGGAATTATTTTCCCCTTATATTAATATCCCCAGCAGCAAATGCTGTTATCTCCTCAATCCATAAAGTAGATAATGTCTTCACAGAGATTTTTGTTAAACAAGAGACCAGGAAACTAACAGGAAAAGAATTAGATTTCCAAACACATTATAAGATATAGCCAAGTTTAATACTTTATTTTTTAGCTATTTAATGTAACATTTTAGAAAACTCATGTGTCAAAAACATATTAGAGAATTTACAAGTTTACAAATAACAATGTAAAAGGGAAATACAGATATTTCAAGCCTAGAACAGAAATTTGAGTTTGAAGAAAAATCAAGGAAAACATAAGCTGACTGATACGACAAGATGAAGAGCCATCTATCTAAAATCAAATGGGTGTGGAACTATAAAGTAAGGTCAGTCAGGATACCAACTACTGACAAGGCATTTTCTTTGGGATACCTGCCATGACGATCCGGGGAGACATCAGCACACACAAAATGCCAAGCAGGTAGTTCACTTGACTCAACAGGAGAAAACACCTCCCACTACACCTGCCTATGAAAGGTGTATAACACTGCACAAAAGTTAAGAGGTAAAGTTATTACAAGACAATTAAGCACTTCCCTGTGTTTCTCATTCTCAAAGTGTGGTCCTCAGATCTGCATCCATCCCCAGGGACACATGTAATAAAGGGCCTCACCTGGGCAAACTGAATCAGTTACTGGGGGTAGAACTGTAAACCCTCATTTCTAAAGTATCTCCCACAAACGGGCAACAGTGATTGTCCGTGAAGAGAACTGGGTGGCTAACAATAAAAAATGAAGTCTTACTTTATATGCTTTACTAGAGGCTCGTGTACGGACTTGTGGGGGAGCAGGAGGGTTCCTCAGCATGGCCTGCGGAGATCGGCCTAAACCAGCAGTCCAACGCTGCCTGCAGCTCCTGCTCATCCCTACACCGCTGTGCCTGCTGCCACCCCTCAGTAGGCTCACTGCCACTCCGCTGCGGTCTCCAGGCTGTGGCGGCCAGCCATGAGCTCTGAATCTGGCACCCCTTGGTCAGCTGAGCGGTGCTCCTGCTGTGGGAGCGCACTGACCACCAGGGGGCAGCTCCTGCAATTGAGCGTCTGCCCCCTGGTGATAAGTGCGCATCATAGCAACCGGTTGAACGGTCAAACGGTTGCTTAGGCTTTTTCTTTGTATTTCAAAATTCCTTTTGAATTTTACATATGTGCCTGTCTTAGTTTTTCAAAACCCAAAACAAAACAACCCAGATGATTCTTAAATGCACCTGAGAACCACTATTTTAATGCATTTATCAATAGGTACAACCAAAATAGCTGTCAGGGAGAAAGGGTATATACACAAAAATCTTTGCTTTTCCTAATTACTGGCTTTTGAGTGCAAATTATTTAAGTTTTCTTGAGCTTTAACTTCCTTACCTGCACAATCAACAATCAAGATTATTATGTAAAATGGACACATATGTAATACCCTTTGTAATACTTTAAGCAATAAATAAAAAAATTATGAAGATTAAATAAAAATGTATGTAGAATACTTTAAAATATGCCTATCCATAGCAAGTGCTTAATAATTGATAACTATGTTTTCTATAATTACTTTGAGACTCAAGCCCATCAGCTTATACATAGCATTGTTTCCCACCAGTTTCCTAGAAGAGGAACCACACTCTAATTCTCAAGTCAACAAACACTATTAGTGATCTTTGTGAGGCCAGAAAAATCAAACCTAATTTCTGAAAGTCACTGTACAGTTGTTAAAAGCAAACTTTCCTGAGTTTGGTGGCCTGGGTTTGAATTCAGATTCTGCTAGTGCCTGGTTATGAGACTCTGGTCCTTACTTAACCTTTGCCAGGCAACTTTTCTCATATAAGATATGAAAGTAATATCTACCTCACAGGGTAGTGAAGCAGCCAAAACTATAAATATGAAGCAAAGTTCTTACCTCACCTTATACACAAAGTTTAACTCAAAGTAGATGACAGGCTTAAATGTAAGAGCTAAAACTATAAAACTCTCAAATGAAAGCATAGGAGTGAATCTTCATGACTTTGGGTTAGGTAATGATTTCTTAGATATGACACCAAAAATATAAGTGGTGAAAGACTGGTAAGTTCAATTTCATCAAAATTAAAAACTTTTGACACTAGCCGGTTTGGCTCAGTGGTTAGAGTGTCAGCCTGCGGACTGAGGGTTGGGGGTTCAATTCCAGTCAAGGGCATGTACCTGGATTACAGGCTGGATCCTCACTCCCAGTCAGTCTGTGTGCAGGAGGCAACCAATCAATGTCTCTCTCACATCGATGTTTCTCTCTCTGTCTTTCCCCCTCCCTTCCACTCTAAAAATCAATGGAAAAAATATCCTCAGGTAAGGAGCAAAAAATAAAAAGTAAAAAACTTTTGGGCTTCAAAGGACACCATCAAGAAAGTGAAAACACAACCCACAAAATGGGAGAAAATATTTGCAAATCATTTATCTGACAAGGGATGTGTACTGAGAATTCATGAAAAACTCTTACAACTCAAAAATAAAGACAAATAGTTCAAATGGGCAAAAACTGTAACAGGCATTTCCCCAAAAGATATACAAATGACCAATAAGCATATGAAAGATGCTTTATGGAGCATTAGTCTTTATGGGGATACAACTCAAAACCAGGATATACCACTTCACACCCAATGGAAAGACTAAAAACAAAAAAACATTAACAAGTGTCCAGGATGTAGAAAAATTGGACCACTCCTATATATATATATATTTTTTTTAATATATCTTATTGATTTTTTACAGAGAGGAAGGGAGAGAGATAGAGAGTTAGAAACATCGATGAGAGAGAAACATCGATCAGCTGTCTCCTGCACATCTCCTACTGGGGATATGCCCGCAACCCAGGTACATGCCCCTGACCGGAATCGAACCTGGAACCTCTCAGTCCGCAGGCCGATGCTCTATCCACTGAGCCAAACCGGTTTCGGCAGGACCACTCCTATACTGCTGGTAGGAATGAAAAATGGTGCAACCAGTTTGGAACACTGTTTGGCCGAATTACCATATGACCCAGCAATTCCACTCCTAGGAATCTATTTAAGATAACCAAAAATATGTTTACACAAAAGCGTATACACAAAATCATTCACCACTTAATGAATGAACAAAACGTATTATATCCACACAATGGAATATTACTCAGCCATAAAATGAATGAAGTATTGGCACATGATACAGCCGATGAACCTTGAGAACATTAAGTAGATTTCATGTAGATGGAAATGTCCAGTGAAAGCAAATCTACAGACAGAAAAATACAGGAGTGGTTGCCTAGAGCAGTGATTTGCAACCAGTGGTGCTGCAGGAATTTTTAAAACATGTAATCCCTGACTAGTCAGGGGCACTGACCTCTTTCCCTTGTCAAATTCAAAAATGGCAATTGCCAACACAATAGCCGTTAGTGTGAATGAATCAAAATTATAACTATTTATACCTATTTTTTGTCAGATCGGCAAAAAATACATGCTTTGTAATTTCAGTAATTAGTTTATGTGTGCCATGAGATGAAAGCCATTGAAAAATCACTGGCCTAGAGCTAAGATTGGGGGGAAATGGGCAGTGGCTGCCAATGAGTTCAGATTTCTTTTGGAGGTAATAAACATGTTCCAAAATGTGTCGTGATGGCTGCACAGTTGTGTGAGTACACAAAAAAACACGCACATTAAATTGTATGCTTCAAATGGGTGGACTTTAACTCTGGCCCCGTAGCTCAGTGTGTTACAGTGTCCCATTCACCAAGGTTGCGGTTCCATCCAAACAATCAACCAATGAATGCAAAAATAAGTGGGACAACAAATCCATGTTTCTCTCTCTCTCTCAAATCCGTCAATAAATAAAATAGTGGTAAATGGGTGAAATTTATGGTATGCAAATTATATTTCAATGAAGCTGTTAAAACACACACACACACACACACACACACACAGAAAGAGGAAAGAGGAGGAGAGGGAGGGGGAGGGGGAAAACACCCTAGCCCAATGCAACAATGCCTGGCTGCTTCCAGTTTTGCCCATAGCTAAACAACCCTGAGCAGGTCTACACTGAGTGGCCAGATTATTATGGCCACCCCATCAGTACTTCCAAAAATACTGAATACTGAAAACTCCCTAAGCAAATACTCTCAAGGTTTTATTATTATTACTTGCATAACTAATTCACTTCATTGTACTGATGGGGTGGTCATAATAATCTGGCCACTCAGTGTATTTCCCTTCAGGTTGGAAGGACTCCTAAGGTACCTCCCACTTTTGACCCTTCGGCACCCGAAGAACCAAACGCTTGCCCTGGGGCCCTGGGGATCCTCTGGGGGAGGGAAGGGGCCGCAAGATCCGCAACGCTCAGACTTTGGGAAAACAGTGCCCGAACTCCCAGGGTCCCCACCGCTCCACGGCCCCTCTCCCCCACACGGCTGGCCTTGGAGATGCGCTTACCCAAGGCACAGGCCATGGCGGCGCCCACCAGGCCTCCACCTGACACCACCACATCGTACACGGTGTCTGCCGCGGCACCGGCCCACCTCCGACAGGAGACTAGCGGGCCTCTGCGGGCAGCCGCACGTGCAGCCCCGACCCGGCTCCCAGCCAACAGAGCCGCCATGGTGCAGACTCGCTCCCTCCTCGGCACCCCGCTAGGCCCGCCTTCGGTAGCACTTCCAGAGCAGAGCCCTCCAATCACTTGCCGCCTCAGCCTCCCGGCCTCCGAACCGGAAATAGGACGTGAAAGGGAATAGCCAATCGGAGAACAAGCCTTACCTCGTTGGGCGGGATGGATTGGAGGCTCCCTGGTAGGGGACTGGTTCAAGCATCCGCCGGGGAGCCAATCAGAGCACAGGTCTAGAAAGGGGCGGGACTTGGCTCGCGTAGGTAGTGCCGCCACCGCGGTCACCGCAGGTGTCGCGGACGCTCTGTCTCTGCCCCACTGAGAAGATGACCGTGGGGAGGCGTGCGGGAGCCTCGGGTGGCGCTCGGAGCCTTCAGGTGAGGAAGAAAACAGCGGGGGAAATCTGGTCTGGGCCCCGGAAAGGAGTGCCTAGGAGAGGAAAGTGTTTGACGTTGCCTTGGAGACCGACGTAGAGGCGTGGTCCCGAGGGGCGTGGGGTTAAAATTGGTCGCGTTTAGCACTGCCTGAACCCATGAGCCCTATGTCCTCCTCTTTGCAGAACCGTGCAGTGGCCCTCAGTTTTCGCTTTATCCTCTCAGCTACCCTAGGGCTGTCGTGGACTGTTGTCTCCATTTTGTATAAGAGAAAACCGTGGCACAGAGAGATTAAGAAATTTGCCCCCAAATCCATATAAACAGAAAGTAGAATGGTGGTTGCTTAGGGCTGGCGGGAAGGATGAGGGGTGTGCTGGGAAGCGAGGTGGGGAAGGGTTGGGAAGGTTGTGGGAAACAGGGAGTGACTGCTAAATGGCATGGGGCTTCTTTTTGGAGTGACTAACATGTACAAAACTGGTGGCGGTTGCCCATCTGTGAATATACTAAAACCCACTGCACACTTTATTTATTTTTATTTTTTAAATTGACTTTATTGATTTTTTACAGAGAGGAAGGGAGAGCGATAGTTAGAAACATCGATGGGAGAGAAACATCGATCAGCTGCTTCCTGCACACCCCCCACTGGAGATGTGCCTGCAACCAAGGTACATGCCCCTGGCCGGAATCGAACCGGGACCCTTCAGTCCGCAGGCCGACGCTCTATCCACTGAGCCAAACCGGCCAGGGCCCCAATGCACACTTTAAACAAGTGAATTGTATGTATTGCATGCTATGTGAATTATATCTCAATAAAGTCCTTTAGAAAGGAAGCTTCCTAAGATCACACACTCTGCAGTAGCAGAGTGAGGGCTAGAGCACCTACATACCTTTGACTCAGTCTAGTGTTCTTTGCAGTGTTAGAGCTGGACCTTAGAGAACCCAGTAAAATCATCAGCAAGTCCAGCTGCAGTCAGTCATCCTCTGGTCGCATCCTGGCACCACCACACCTGCTACACTGGCCCTCTTACCACCTCTCCAAGAGCCAAGTGTGTTCCTGCCTCAGGTCCCTGCCTCAGGGTCTTTGCTGTTCCTTGAACCCAGAAACCGCTTACCCCAGATCTGAGCAAGGCTGGCTCCTTCCCATCAGTCATGTGTAAACCCCGAACTCCTCCACCGTGAGAAGTGAAAATCATCCCAGGTCTGAGAAAGTACAATTCAGACTGGAGTAGACAAATAAGGCAGCAGCAAGATCAGCAGAGAACGGTGTTTCTCATAGGACCACACCATACTGTAAAATGACCAACACCCCCTTCTAAAGGGTTATGCTTACCTATCAATTACTTACCCACCCCCTTGTTCTTGTCACCTTTTGAGTAAAAATTGCTCAGTCATCCACTTAGTAAACTGCCCCCTCTTAACGACAGCATCCACTCAGAGTTGATCCCTGCTTCCCCTAACTCTCATCAGAATTATTCAGGACAAGCTAATTCTAGAAAAAGCCCCTCTCCCACCCTCTTACTAAAAGCTAGCCCCTCCCGAGTTCCCTATAATTTTTCATAGCTTACTGCAGCAAGTTAATAAACCTAACTCTGATTATAGTACAAGCATACACACCTACCACAATATATTTCTATCTTTACATAAATATATATAGTCTTTACCTGATGGTTTTTTTAGGCCAGATATAAGGAAAGCTTCCTGTAGCTACTCTATAATCCCATAGTTTTGGATTTCACTAAATTATTATCTTTTATCTTATGTCTTCCTTTACTAGAATGTTAGCTTCATGAAGGTAGGGGCCTTGTCCTGTTCTCAGCTTAATTCCTAGAGCATATTAATCACCTAATAATGTATATTTTCTGGAGTATTTAAACCCAGTTGGGTTTCCCATATTCTAGAACATTGCTCATTCAGCTAGACCACATTGTCTCTCCTGTTAATTATTCATTTCTAGTGACACAGTGGAAATCAGCTAGAATATGAGGAAAGCAAAGGTATAGACAGAGGAAGCAAGAAAAGGAAGATTGACAAAAGTTGGTAAAACCCAAATAGGGCAGGGCCCAAAGAGTGGCCAAGGTCATGGGTAGGATTCCTGGAGGGAGCAGAATGCCTGGTGCAGACTAGTTTCTCTGTAAATGCTCACTGCACTGCATGAAGTAGGGACCCAATGTCAGCTCTTTGCTTCTCTTTCCCGTCTTTCGTCAACCAAAGGTTGCTGCCACAATTCAACACCAACAGAACTCCCCAATTTTGGGTGCGGTCCAGGAGAGATTTTATTCAGTAAAACAACTTAAGGGTTGCAGCTCAGTTTGCAAACCTGGGAAACACAATCTGCTGGCTTATACAGAGAAGAGTGTCTGCCTCCTAGTCTCTGATTGATCAGTTTTCATACAAATGAACCACAGACTTCTTGTGTTCTCATTGGTCAGTTAATATGCAAATGAGGATATAGTTGCACAGCTCCAATTGGATAAGGTAGGTCTTCAGCCCATTGGTTGAATTATAGCTCCAGGAGCTCTATTATAAGGGTCAACTCAGATGGCAGGAATACAGTACGAGGCTGGCAGCTCCAGCTGAGGTTTTCCCTGACATGCCGTGGGGGTGAGGGACCATTGTAGACAATGGCTACTACACTCTGGTTATGAATTTGAGCCCAATTAACACAAGGAGTCCTTGGCAGGTATATTCTTTCTTGGGATTGACACCTTCAACCAAGCACACCCCATATACCAATTTGTGAAATTTCTTTTTTTTTTTTTCTTGGATAAAAATTCTTTTTTTTAAAATTTTGTTTTATTGTTTAAAGTATTACAAAGAGTATTACATATGTCTCCTTTTTTTTTCCCCCTTGACCTTCCCCCGGCCTCCCCTAACCCCCAGTGTCTTGTGTCCATTGGTTATGCTTATATGCATGCATACAAGTCCTTCGGTTAATCTCTCCCCCACCCGCCAACCCTCCTTGGCCTTCCTGCTGTAGTTTGACAGTCTGTTCGATGCTGCTCTGCCTGTGTATCTATTTTTGTTCATCAGTTTATAATGGGCTTTATTATCCATAAATGAGTGAGATCATGTGGTATTTTTCTTTCATTGACTGGCTTATTTTATTTAGCATAATGCTCTCCAGTTCCATCCATGCTGTTGCAAATGGTAAGAATTCCTTCTTTTTTACAGCAGCATAGTATTCCATTGTGTAGATGTACCACAGTTTTCTAATCCATTCATCTGCTGATGGGCACTTAGGCTGTTTCCAAATCTTAGTTATTGTACATTGTGCTGCTATGAACATAGGGATACATATATCCTTTCTGGTTGGTGTTTCTGGTTTCTTGGGATATATTCCTAGAAGTGGGATCACTGGGTCAAATGGGAGTTCCATTTTTAACTTTTTGAGGAAACGCCATACTGTCTTCCACAGTGGCTGCACCAGTCTGCATTCCCACCAGCAGTGCACGAGTGTTCCTTTTTCTCCACATCCTCTCCAGCACTTGTCGTTTGTTGATTTGTTGATGATAGCCATTCTGACAGGTGTGAGATGGTACTTCATTGTTGTTTTGATTTGCATCTCTCAGATGATTAGTGACTTTGAGCATGTTTTCGTATGTCTCTTGGCTTTCTGAATGTCCTCTTTTGGAAAGTGTCTACTTAGGTCCTTTGCCCATTTTTTTGATTGGATTGTTTATCTTCCTTTTGTTAAGTTGTATGAGTTCCCTATAAATGTTGGATTCTAAACCCTTATCGGTGATAACATTGAAGTTTCTTTTTTTTTTTTTTAAATATATTTTTATTGATTTCAGAGAGGAAGGGAGAGGGAGAAAGAGATAGAACCATCAATGATGAGAGAGAATCACCGATTGGCTGCCTCCTGCACAATCCCCACTGGAGATTGAGCCCACAACCTGGGGAATGTGCCCTTGACTGGAATTGAACTTGGGTCCTTCAGTCTATAGGCCCGCACTCTTGTCGACTGAGCCAAACGAGCTAGGGCGTGAAATTTCTTTAGAACACATCTTATTTCCACATTGTCTTTCCTGTTAATTAAAATTTTTCTTTGTTCCTCTCCAGTCCCTAATATATAGAGGCTTATTCAAAGTGAAATTAAGAGTTATGTTTTGAATAAATTTGAAATTATAGTTTGACCCCGGTCTATCCTATTTCATTTTAGATATTTCCCCCCAAATCCTCCTCAGACACAGAGGCAGAAGAGGAGCTGTCTGGGGATGGGCTGTTTTTGCCTAGGGCTGGCAAACTTGATGAGTTCCTCAGCCTGGAGGAGACAGATTCTACTTCTGCTGACTCAACTGGGAGCTTTTACGAGACCCTGCAAGCACTGATGCAGAAAGGCAGATGGTGCCTGTCAGAATCCCTTCATCAGTCTGACCCAGACAGTGATGAGAGCCTCTCTGAAGATGATGAGGACCTGGAGAGTTTCTTCCAGAACAAAGGCAGGGGGAAGCCGCAGGTCCAGTATCCACCATCGCCAAGGTGAGGCACTGCTGTTCAACAGCTGCTTCACTGTGTTTCTTCCCCAGTAAAGCAAAGACCACTTTTTCAGGTTGCCATTTACCCAGGCTCCGGAAGAATCAGCTTCTGGATCCAAACATGGGTTCTGATTCCTACCCAGCAGTCCTAAATCACTCTGGGTAACCCTGAGTCACCCGAAGCACTGGGCTCGATCAAACTGATG